TCTAGAACCCCTCTTCTATTGCCTCGTGATGCCTCCCCAATGCCATATATGCATGCCCCAGGCGGCTGTATGCGCTCTTGCTGTCTCAGGCTCCTACACACAGACACACCTTCACTAGTCCTTACCTTTCTTGAACCCCTCTTCTATCGCCTCGTGGTGCCTCCCCAGAGCCTTGTACGCATGGCCCAGGCGGCTGTACGCCTTGCTGTAGCTTGGGTCAACTGCTATGGCTCTCTTGCTGTCCTCCGCTGCTGCCATGTAGTTCCCCAGCTGATGCTGTGCCGCAGCCCTGGGAGGGGAAATAACAGAAGAGAAAGGCGACAAATTATGGCAGTGAAACAACCTGGAAAATCCTCCCTATCGTCCTCCTGCTGTCCGCCGCTGCTGCCATGCAATTTCCCAGCTGCTGCTGGGAAGTTGCTGCCCTGCTACAACAGAGAAGGAGTCTATTGTTGAGGCGCCTCAAAAATAGACTCCTTGCCCTGCTACAACAGAGAAGAGAAGGCGAAAACGAGGAGACACGTTTATGCCTCTGAGAAAAACCTCAACGCATCTATAGACTATCGCTCTCGCGCTGTCAGTTCCTGGTGCCCTGTAGCTCCCCAAATGGTGCTGCACTGGTGCCCTGGGATGGGAAATAACAGAAGGTAAAAGAGTCACATTATGGCTGTGAAACATCCTGTAGTTGCCCAACTGGTGCTGCGGTGCCAACTGGTGCTGCGGTTCTGCCCTCGGATGGAAACAGCAGAAGCAGGAAGAAGCAAGCAGTCTTTCCTAGGTGATGTTTTAGTCGACTAAAAAATCAGCAAGCATTCTTTCCTAGGTGATGTTTTAGTCGACTAAAAAATCAGCAAGCATTCTTTCCTAGGTGATGTTTTAGTCGACTAAAAAATCAGCAAGCATCCTTTCCAGCGAAAAAGAAAAATCGGCAAGCTCAGTTGGCAACAAGCAGATGCATTTCAAGTGTGTTGTAACGCAATCAGCTATGACATCTTGCATTTCAGATTCAAAATGACCTTGTAATGCGACAGAATTATTATTTGTGTCACCAGTTACCTACCTGTTGGCATAATAGATGGCGTTGGTGCCGCCACAGAGGGAGATAGCAGTGGAGTAGAGAGAGATTTAACGAGAGCAGGAGGGGAGAGGAGAAGATAAGGGAAGGGAAAGTACCTGTTGGCATAATAAATTGCGTTGGTGCCGCCACAAAGGGAGATCGCCTTGGAGTAGAGAGTCAGAGCCTCCTCGTACTGCTTGGCTGACATGGCGGCATTGCCTGCACAGAAATGGATGGGACGGGACGACAAGGGTGGGAGAAGGGGGATTCTGACAGAGCACTCCCAGGCCACTCCCAGGCCACTCCAGGCCACTCCCAGGCCACTCCAAGGCAATGCTGCTATGTCAAACTAGCCTTGGAGTACAGGGTCAGAGCCTCCTCGTATTGCTTGGCTGACATGGCCGCATTGCCTGGCGGGTGAATGGGGTGGGGGAATCCTTACGGTGCAGGGAGAGAGTGTTAGAGACATCTCAGAATCATTCTTGAGAATTAAAAAAAAAAAAAAAAAAAAAAAAAAAAAGGAATCATTCTTAGGAATTCTTTTTTGAAATTTCTCGAAAATGGGATGGGGGGATCCTTATACGGGTGCAGGGAGAGAGTGTTAAAAAGACATCTCAGAATCGGTCTGGAGTGGAGGTTCAGAGCCCCCTCGTATTGCGTGGCTGGCATGGCAGCATTGCCTGCACAGGAATGGAGGGAATGAGGAGCACCACACTATATGGCTGGTAAAGCTGCTCCCTGCTTCTACTTTTGAGGCGCCTCAAAAGGATATGGCTGGTAAAGCTGCTCCCTGCTGCTACTGCTGCCCAATGTCCACCTCGCGATGTGCGCCACCTGTGGCACATCGTGTGCACACGATGTGGGCATTACCGCTGCTTCTACTACTACTCTCTGCAAACGATGTGCCACACACACGCCGACAAAGTCTGCGCGCCTTGAGCCTTCAGCTCGTCTGCTTTCTTCCTGTCCTCCTCAGCCCCCACCGCTGCTGCAGTCACAGCCCCTGCAGTCTCTGCCACAGCAGCAGCAGCAGCAGCAGCATTGGAAGGAGCACCCGCAGCACTTGTGGTACCTGCGTTACTCACCTTGAGCCTTCAGCTCGTCTGCTCTCTTCCTGTCCTCCTCTGTCACCACTGCTGCTGCCCACTCCCAGCAGTCTCCGTAGCAGCAGCACCACCACTGGCAGCAGCACCCGCAGCACTCGTGGTGCCTGCACTGCTGCTCCCGGACCCAACACCCACGGCAGCGGCAGCATCAGCAGTGGCAGCAGCCGAAACATCTTGCCCTTCCTGCTCCTTCGCCTTTCCCTTGCTCTCCTTTCGATCCTTGCCATCCTCTTCTTCCTTCTGCTCTCGCTCTTGCTCTTTCTGCTCTTGCTGTTGCTCGCTCTGTTGCTGCACGCATTGGTGGAATATCGCCGTGGCCTGCCTCCGTCTCTCCAGGTACGCCTCGCTCCCTGCCTCCGTCCCCGCATAGTAGTTCGCACTCTCCAAACCCTCCAAAAACTCCTGCAGCTTTTGATCCAAATCCACCGCCTCCCCCCCATCCTCCTCTTTGTTCTCCGCCTCCTCTCTCCCCCTCTTCTCCGCCTCTCCCCCCCTCTCCTCCGCTTCTCCTCTCTTCGTCTCCTCCCCATCGACACTTGCGGCGTCCATTCCTTGCGTTGTTTCCCCTTCTCCCGCTGTGCCTGGCTTTTCCGCCTCAGCCGGCCCGTCAGCTGCTTCTTTCATCGCCACATCCTCCCCTGCTCCTGTTTCCGCCCCTGATCCTGAACTAGAATCTGCTCCAGCTGCTGCAACCGAACCTTCCCCAGGCCTGTCTGCCGAGCCTGTTGCTCGAGGCCCGGTGTCATCCTTATTCCCTTCATCCATAGGTTCCGGCGGCGGGGCAGCTCGAGACATTTCTCCTGGCTGCCCGTCTGGGCGGGCAGCCACGGTTGAAGGACCATGGCCAATGAGAGAACCTGGCGTGCTATCCTGAATGAGCTGCAACAGTGTTCCGGGCAGAATTGAGAACTTCTCAAGGTCGTCCGGGTTCTGTGGGCTGACCCCAAAAGCTTCGGAGAGGCAGTCTGCGGCAACCTCTAGGGCGTCTGAGTCGACTGTGGGGGGGAGAGAGGCTGATGGGGCATGGGGGAGGGGGGGGAGGGGGGGAAGGGAAGGAGGGCATGAAAGGAGACAGGGATGGCTGGAAGAGGGAAGGGAATCGAAGGCAGTCAATGAAACCTCTAGGGCGTCTGAGTCGACTGTGGGGGGGAGAGAGGCTGACAGGCCATGGGGCGGGAGAGAGGGGGGGGTTGGGGAGGATTACAGGAGACAGGGATGGTTGGAAGAGGGAAGGGAATCGAAGGCAGTCAATGAAACCTCTAAGGGCGTCTGAGTCGACTGCGGGGGCGAGAGAGGCTGATGGGGCATGGGGCGGAAGAGAGAGGGGGGGGGCGGGAGGGCATGAAAGGAGACAGGGATGGCAGGAAGAGGGAAGGGAATTAAAAGCAGTCAATGAAACCTCTAGGGCGTCTGAGTCGAACGTAGGGGGGAGTGAGGCTGATATGCCATGGGGCGGGAGAGGGGGGGGGGGGGGGGGGGGGGGGGGGGGGGGGGGGGGGGCGGGGGGGAGTGGGGGGCATGAAAGGAGACAGGGATGGCTGGAAGAGGGAAGTCAAGGTAGTCAAGGCAACCTCTAGAGCGTCTGAGTCGATGGGACACGGAAGGAGACAGGAAACGGAGAGACATTATTACAAGCGGAAGTATGCGGCAATCCCTAGGGTGCCGGGGTGTACTCTAACTGACCGCCTTTCATTCACCTGTGCGAAAGTTACTCTGTTACCAAAAGCATCCCATGAGCGACGTCTGCGACTCTTCAGGCAGTTACCTGTGCGGAGGAAAGCGAGGAAGGCGAGAAAGGTTCGCCTCTGAGCGAAGAAGGTTACACTGTTACCACAGACGTCCCATGAGCGACCTCTGCGATGCATCAAGTAGTTACCTGTGCGGAGGAAATCGAGGAAGGCGAGCACGGTTCGCCTCTGCGTGAAGAATCTATCCTCGTTACTAGGATCTCTGTCGTTGTGCATAGTTGCCATGACTGGTGGCGAAGGTGATGCGTCGACCAGGTAAAGGCAGATTCGGCGACAATTATCTAGTTTCGAGACGCCTTAAAACGAAATCGAGGATTCCCGCGACAATGATGGCGCAAAATTGGGTTCTTCCCCGTACGAGCCGGGATCTGACGCGCTTCGAAAGATCGACGACGATGGTGCTTGGCGATAGGAAGTTTTGCCGAATGATTCGAGCGCCCCAATGCGCAGACCGAGGGTGAAAAGGCTCTAGTTGCTTTTTCGAGACGTCTGAGAGTCCGTTAGTCCACCTCCTTCACTAGCGTGGATTTGGCTGCCTGGTTTTCTCACTACAGCGTGGCTTTATGCCAGCCCACTATGGCTTAGCTATTATTATTCAGTCCAGTTGGTTGCTGGTGGCTGGATGGTTCTGGAATCTGGAATGAACTCACTGAAAAACTCTCTAGGAGAAATGCACATCTGCACCGCGTTGCATCGTATTGTAACGCGTGAAAAGACACGCCACCGAAGTACTTTTTGACGAGCTTCCAAGAAACAGAGCGGTGTAGATATCAATTTCTTCTCCAGGGGCGTGATGCTGCTTCTATCGCGTATCCCGCCAGCTTCACCAACGTGTCGGGCAATCTCGAGGTGGTTCAAGGCTGCTTGGAAGCTCAATCCAAGGGTTGCGCAACCCATCAAAGTTGCGCAAACCGGTCTGGTTACCAGGCTCCCCGAACCTCGCCTGGCATGTGAAAGATGGGTTAAGCTGAATTTGGTTGCGCAACTCGGGTTGCGGTATCGAGGCAGGGCGCAACCCATGAAACACGCTCTCACTTGACCATGGATAGAATTGATGGAGGTCAGTAAACCTAGAGGCCATCTGATCAGTGACCACATAATCAGCTGACCTAATTGATTCACGCTTGACCGCGGCATCTACGGTCAGTCAGATTCGGTCGCAACCACGACTGACACGTTCTCTGAGGCGTCTTTAAGTCCGATCACACGCACGTAGTTTCTAGTGTTTCCGTATTGTAGAGGTTAAGGGAAGTGAATCGTATTGTAGGACGGGACGGGACGCATTGTAGAGAGTCTCACTCAGAATGTCAGGCGTCGCTTGATCAGGTAATACTGAAACGATTTTAGGAAGCCGCGATGGGAACTGCATGCAGACCTTCGCGCTTAGCTAAAAGCCGGAGCGGTTTTAGTAGCTCCGGAATGAGAAGCCAAACATGCTTCCACGACGCTTCCAGTTACGCTGCAGCAGGTAGTTTCGCAGAAAGACCGGTCGGGAGCCTGATTGGCCGGACAAACCCCTCTCCATCTCCATCGATTCAGGCTTCTACTCGCTCCCCTTCTCGTCATTCCCGAGGGATCCTTGCTCCAGGTGGCTCTCATACGCCTCTGATGGCTTTAAACCTTCTTACTCTGGTCATTCTCAGCAGCATTGCTGGTTCTTCCGCAGCATCCGCGTTAAGAGCGGACTCTTCAGCAGCGTTGGTGTCAAAGGAGAACGGAAATTGGCCGATGACGTCACGAGTGCTCTCGCTGTCGGGTTCTGGTTTTTGGGAGGGTTCTGTACGGCGGAGATTGGCGGATGACGTGGCATCAACGGCCAACGGATTTCTGAGGTGAGCTTGTGTCTCCTTCTCTCCTCTTCCCCTTCGCTTATCCACGGATTCTCCTCCCCCCTTGCTCCCTTCCCTTTTTGAGGCGCCTCAAAAATAGACTCCCTTGCTCCCTTCCCTTTTTCCCGTTTCTCCATTTCTCCTCCCCTTACCCCACCCCCTCCCCCCCGCCGTTCCTCCCTATTCCTCCCTCCCCTTCTTCCCGCCCAGTCCCGAGGCGGTGAGTCAGCTGGTAGGGCGGCTGAGGGTGCTGCGGGTGCGACTGGGGGAGGTGGTATCCAAGGCCAACGCGACCATGGTGCTGCTGCCTCCGGGTTTGGAGGAGGAGAACGGCGCGGAGGAGAACGGGGAGGGGCTGGAGAGCGTGAAGGTGGTGGACGTGGTGGATGACGATGCTACGCCGCTGAAGCTCGACTGGTGAGTCATGAAGTTTGGATTCCTACGAGCCTGAATGCACTGGAATCCGGCTAGAAACGGGCTGAAAATGGGCCGAAACCGGGCGGGTAACGGGCGGGAAACGGGCTGGAAACGGGCTGGAAACGGGCTGGAAACGGGCTGGAAACGTGACCATAATGCTGGTGCCAGGACTGGAGGGGGAGAACGGGGAGGGGCTCGAGAGCGTGAAGGTGGTGGACGTGGTGGACACGGATGACACCCCCTTGAGAAGGCGGCTAGTTTGAGAGGGCGGCCAGCTTGAGAGGGCGGCTAGTTTGAAAGGGTGAAAGTGACGACGACGCATAGTTGAAGCTCGACTGGTGATGCATCAACAGGCATGCTAATTGCCTCTTTCTCTCATGCCGTCCCCTCCTACTCCCTTCTCCCCAAGGAGCCGTGCTGTGAGCAAGGAGCAGAGGGAGCAGGAGAGATAGTCTCGCCTTCTTGATTCCTTCACCCCTTCCCCCGCCCTCCTTCCTCCCCTCCTACTCCCTTCTCCCCAAGGAGCCGTGCTGTGAGCAAGGAGCAGAGGGAGCAGGAGAGAGTCTCTCACCTTCTTGATTCCTTCACCCCTTCCCCCGCCCTCCTTCCTCCCCTCCTACTCCCTTCTCCCCAAGAGGCTGTGCTGTGAGCAAGGAGCAGAGGGAGCAGAGGAGAGAGTCTCACCTTCTTGATTCCTTCACCCCTTCCCCCGTCCACCTTCCTCCCCTCCTACTCCCTTCTCCCCAAGGGGCCGTACTGTGAGCACGGAGCAGAGGGAGCAGGAGGATAAGGCAAAGCAGGCAGTGGGAAGGTGCTCCTCAGAGTTGGCTCACAAGTCACTTAAGCTTCACCCCTCTCCCCTTCTTCGTCCCCCCGCCCCCTTTCCCTTCCCCCCAGGGGCCGTGCTGTGAGCAAGGAGCAGCGGGAGCAGGAGGACAAGGCACAGCAGGCAGCGGGAAAACGCCCCTCTGACCTTTGAATTGACTCGCGAACCATACAATACAACCCTCTCTCCCCCTCATCGCTTCTCCACCCCCCAGGGGTCGTGCTGTGAGAAAGGAGCAGAGGGAGCAGGAGGACAAGGCAAAGCAGTCGCAGGGAAGGTGCCCCTCTGACGGACAGGGGGGAGGGGAGACGGGGAGCGCAGAAGGTGCTGACGTGGCAGCGGCTCATAGGCTGGCGGGACATGCGGACTGGAGGGGCGGGTTCGCTAAGGGCAGTATGGAATGGGCGCCGGAAAAGGATCGATACATCCTCATGGACTGCCATCGGGGGAAGGTGCGTCTGGGGAAAGGTGTATCTGGGGAAAGGGCACATATTAAGTGGACTTGGTGGGCTGTTGGAAGAAGGGTTTGGAGGGCATGCGGACTGGAGGGGAGGATTCGCCAAGGGCAGTATGGAGTGGGCGCCGGAGAAGGATAGATGCATCCTCATGGACTGCCATAGGGGCAAGGTTGGTGGGGTGGGGATGGGGGGAGATGGAAGGAGGTAGCTGGGGCCAAGGTAGGTGGGAGCTCATCGCATGGTCAAGAGGGTGGGGGAGCATGGAGTGGGCGCCGGACAAGGATAGATGCATCCTCATGGACTGCCATAGGGGGAAGGTGTGTGTGGGGGGCCATTTGAGTGAGGTAGTGGGGGCATACAGGTATATTCTCGTGGCAGCATGGAATGGGCGCCGGAGAAGGATGGATACATCCTCATGGACTGCCATAGGGGGAAGGTGCGTGGTGAATGGGCGGATGTAAAGTGGACTGGGTTCGTCATTGGGAGACAGGGTGGAGGGCGGCAATAGGTGTGAGGGGTGGATTCACCAGTGGGAGCATGGAGTGGACGCCGGGGAAGGATTGACACATCCTTATGGACTGCCATAGGGGGAAGGTGGATAGAGAGCGGGCGTGAGGCCAAGGTGTGTGGGTGGGGGGCTTGGGAATAACGTATCTGTGGGACAGTGGTGTGCGCTTGAGGGGGCGGGACAGCATGGAATGGGCGCTGGAGCAAAGGAAGTACATTTTCATGGATCGCCCTCGGGGGAAGGTGTGTGGGTGGGAGTGGAGTGCCACGGTGTGTGGGTGGGCCACAGTGTGCGTGGGCTGGAAAGGTAAGTGTGAGCTTTGGGGGAAGGTGTGTGGTGAGGGAGCGAGAGAGAATGGAATGGGCGCGAGAGAACAATCGATGCATCCCTCCGATAACCACATTATAAGACCACGATCCCTCCCCCTCTACTTCCCCCCTCCCCTCCCCCCCCCCCCACAAACTCCAGTCCAGCACGCACATCCTCTGCTTCCGCAGCTGCATGCTGCTAGCACGGTTGCTTTTGAGTCGACTCAAAGGCAACTACATGCTGCTAGCGCGGTTGCTTTTGAGTCAGCTCAAAGGCAACTACATGCTGGTAGCAGGGTTGCTTTTGAGTCGACTCAAAGGCAACTACATGCTGCTAGCAGGGTTGCTTTTGAGTCGACTCAATGGCAACTACATGCTGGTAGCAGGGGAGACGGTGGTGCCTCTTCTTCCGCAACTACAAGCTGCTAGCAGGGCTGGCCAGCCGCACGCTGCTGGTACCAATAAAGGCCGTTTTTATCTTTTTTAGTCGACTCAAAAATCACCTAGCAGGGCTGGCCAACTGCTCGTGCCAATGGAAGCCCTCTCAACACCTTGCCCCCCTACCCCTCTATCCCCCCCCCCCTCCTCTCTCTCCCTCCCTCCCCTTCACAATTCCATTGCAGTTTAGCACGTGCATTCGCTGCTTTCGGAGCTGCCTGCTGCTAGCAGGGCTGGCCAACCGCACGCTGCTCGTGCCCTGAAGGCCTTGTCGCATTGACCCAGCATGCCACCCCTCTTCTCTCTCTCCCCCTCCCCCCCCAACTCCACTTTTGAGTAAAAAAACCACACGCCGCTGGTAGCAATGAAGGCATTCTCGCTTTCTCCCCTCCCCCCCCCCCCCACCTCCCCCTAACTCCAGTCCAGCTCGCGGGTGCTGCTTCTGCAACTACCTCCTCCAGGCAAGGCTGGCCAACTGCACGCTGCTGTGGCCAATGAAGGCCTTGTGCCCCCCCCCCTCCCCCTTCCCCTCCCCCCCTCTTTCCCCTCCCCCTCTCCCCCTCTTCCCCCCTTACCTCGCAGTCCAGCACGCGGGTGCGCTGCTTCCGCAACTACATGCTCCTGGCTGGCCTGGCCAACCGCACGCTGCTGGTGCCAATGAACACCACAGAGGTGGCTTCCGGCTACGACCGGCGCATCGTGTTCGACTTGAATCACACGAGAAGGTAAGTCATGTCTCCTCAGGTCACGTCCAAGACTGCTGTTGCTGCTGCATTGCCCCAGCCGCACGCTGCTGGTGCCAATGGACACCACAGAGGTGGCCTCGGGCTACGACTGGCGCATCGTGTTCGATTTGAATCACACAAGAAGGTGGGTGGGTCGCTTGGTTGAGTGACAGGTCATCTGGAGAACAGGGTTCTGACTAGACTCACTGCACGCTGCTGGTGCCAATGAACACCACAGAGGTGGCTTCCGGCTACGACCAGCGCACCGTGTTCGACTTGAATCACACAAGAAGGTGGGTGTGTTGCTTGGTCGAGTGACAGGTTATCTGGAAACCAGGGTTCTGTCTAGACTCACCGCACGCTGCTGGTGCCGATGGACACCACAGAGGTGGCCTCGGGCTACGACCGGCGCGCCGTGTTTGATTTGAATCACACACGCAGGTAGGTGGGTGGATAAGAGCGCTGGTTGACCCAACCGCATGCTGCTGGTGCCAATGAACACCACTAAGGTGGCTTCCGGCTACGACCAGCGCACCACGTTGGACGTGAACCCCACAAGGAGTTAAGCCAAGTCTCCTCGCCTCACATCACATCCGAGACTGCAAAGAGACAGCATTCTCCCAACCGCACGCTGCTGGTGGTGCCAATGACCGCCACTGGCGCATGCTCACCCCCCTCCCCTTTTCTACCCCTTGTCTCCCCACTCCCTTCCCCCTCTCCCCCTCCCTGTCCATCCCGCCAGGTGCTATGGCCCCCTGTCAGTGCTTTCCACCCAGGAATTTATCGACCTGAGCGAGGGGCAAGCGGAGGGGGGAGGAGTGAAGGAGGGGAAAGTAGTGATGTGCCCTTCTCTCTTCTCTCTCCACTTCTCTCTCTCACACCCCCTTTTTCCACTTCTCTCTCCACTACCTCCCGTTCTCTCCTCCCCCCCCAGGTGCTACGGCCCCCTGTCTGTGCTTTCCACCCAAGAGTTTGTAGATCTGAGCAAGCAGCAAGGGGAGGGGGGTGGAGTGAAGGAGGGGAAAGTAGTGATAGATCAGGTGCTATGCCTACGCGCTGCCTGCTACAACCAGAAAGGTCACGGGGACCCGGGCACTCTAGTCGATCTGCCCGATGCTGCCCTGGCTGAAAATATCACCTGGAGCACTGCCCCGTCCACGTCGATCACAGAGCAGAAGTTTCGCCTGCCCGAAGCAGCTGAAATCGTCAGGGAAATCCTTCCTTCTGCCCAGGTTGTGGTTCTCGGGGAGCTTGAAGTTTTCTCCTTTGACCGGTCGCTCGAGCTCGAGGGCGACATTCCTTTTTTCCGCCGCCCGGGCTGCCCGAACTCTCTCGCCATCCACCCCCATCCAGCCGTCCTTTTATCCGCCGAGCGCCTGATCCAATCCAAAATGTGGACTCAAATCGCGCTAAACGTCACTTTTAGCCACACGCCCGCGAATTTCACGATCAACAACACCGGCGCGGACGGCGGGAGCAGGGGGGTGGGGTGGCAGAAGGATAGTGAGGTGGCGGAAATCCAGGATAAGAGATTTGTGGCTGTGCATTGGAGGAGGGGGGAGGTGGGCGTGGGGTGTAAAGAACCTGGAGTGATGTGCCACGTGCGGGCGGCGCAGGCAGCAGGGTGCATTGCACGGAGGATGGAGAAGGCTGGAGGCATCAAGACTGTGTTCTTAGTGTCGGATGCAAGTCCCAAGGAGGTATGTGACCCGTGGTGTGTCACTTGTACTCGCATGGTAGTGCAGGCTGGCAGCGCTCCCATGGTAAGGCGGGCAGCAGGGAGGGATAGGCTGGAGGCATCAAGACGGTGTTTCTGGTGTCCGATGCTAGTCCCAAGGAGGTATGAAATGAAACCCTTGGTGTGTCACTTGTACTCCAATGGAAAGGCAAGCAGCACTTGCATGGTAAGGCAAGCAGCACTTGCAGGGTAAGGCAAGCAGCACTTGCAGGGTAAGGCAAGCAGCACTTGCAGGGTAAGGCAAGCAGCACTTGCAGGGTAAGGCAAGCAGCACTTGCAGGGTAAGGCAAGCAGCACTTGCATGGTAAGGCAAGCAGCACTTGCAGGGGAAGGCAAGCAGCACTTGCAGGGTAAGGCAAGCAGCACTTGCAGGGTAAGGCAAGCAGCACTTGCAGGGTAAGGCAAGCAGCACTTGCAGGGTAAGGCAAGCAGCACTTGCAGGGTAAGGCAAGCAGCACTTGCAGGGTAAGGCAAGCAGCACTTGCATGGTAAGGCAAGCAGCACTTGCAGGGTAAGGCAAGCAGCACTTGCATGGTAAGGCAAGCAGCACTTGCAGGGTAAGGCAAGCAGCACTTGCAGGGTAAGGCAAGCAGCACTTGCAGGGTAAGGCAAGCAGCACTTGCAGGGTAAGGCAAGCAGCACTTGCAGGGTAAGGCAAGCAGCACTTGCAGGGTAAGGCAAGCAGCACTTGCAGGGTAAGGCAAGCAGCACTTGCAGGGTAAGGCAAGCAGCACTTGCAGGGTAAGGCAAGCAGCACTTGCAGGGTAAGGCAAGCAGCACTTGCAGGGTAAGGCAAGCAGCACTTGCAGGGTAAGGCAAGCAGCACTTGCAGGGTAAGGCAAGCAGCACTTGCAGGGTAAGGCAAGCAGCACTTGCAGGGTAAGGCAAGCAGCACTTGCAGGGTAAGGCAAGCAGCACTTGCAGGGTAAGGCAAGCAGCACTTGCAGGGTAAGGCAAGCAGCACTTGCAGGGTAAGGCAAGCAGCACTTGCAGGGTAAGGCAAGCAGCACTTGCAGGGTAAGGCAAGCAGCACTTGCAGGGTAAGGCAAGCAGCACTTGCAGGGTAAGGCAAGCAGCACTTGCAGGGTAAGGCAAGCAGCACTTGCAGGGTAAGGCAAGCAGCACTTGCAGGGTAAGGCAAGCAGCACTTGCAGGGTAAGGCAAGCAGCACTTGCATGGTAAGGCAAGCAGCACTTGCATGGTAAGGCAAGCAGCACTTGCAGGGTAAGGCAAGCAGCACTTGCAGGGTAAGGCAAGCAGCACTTGCAGGGTAAGGCAAGCAGCACTTGCACGGTAAGGCAAGCAGCACTTGCATGGTAAGGCAAGCAGCACTTGCATGGTAAGGCGGACAGCAGGGTGAATTGCCAGGACGATGGAGACGGCTGGAGGGATCAAGTCGGTGTTTCTGGTGTCCGATGCCAGTCCTAAAGAGGCATGAAACCCTTGGTGTGTGCATTGTTGGAGTGGTGTTGGTGTTGGCAAGGAGCGGGGTGCATCCCCCCTGTCCCATTCCCCTGTCCCATTCCCCCTGTCCCATTCCCCCTGTCCCATTCCCCCTGTCCCATTCCCCCTGTCCCATTCCCCCTGTCCCATTCCCCCTGTCCCATTCCCCCTGCCCCATTCCCCCTGTCCCATTCCCCCTGCCCCATTCCCCCTGTCCCATTCCTCCTCCCCCCAACAGCTAACCGAGATCCGTCACGCTTTATTTCAGCACATTCAGGACCTTCGGCTTGTTATGCTGCCCCCGAACCTTCGCGGGCAGAAGTGGGCTGCCCGGCTGCAAAGTTTTGACTTCCAACACCAGGGGCTTATTGTGTCCACTATAGACAAGTGCGTGGCTGCGCTGGCTGATATTTTCCTGGGGACCGCTGGATCGAGTTTCACTCTTGACATCCAACGGCTGAGATCGGGCCTGAGGACAGCCACTTGTGAAGATGCTTTTGTGTGTGAGGGGCAAGGGCATGGTTCGACTCACGAGGCAGCTGCATGATTCAAGTGGTGCTACACTTGATTCTGGTGGCCCTGCCCTTGACTGACGTGGTGCTGGTATATTTCATATGGTCTGTGAGTGGTCTGTGAGTGGTCTGTGAGGGGAGTGTATTTTTTAGGCGCCTCAAGAGCAGTGATGTTGCAGCGAAGGCAGTGCGACGCCTTGCTCCTCCCTCTGAGCGTCAAACACGCCATCCAAAAGCAGTGGAGTCATTCTTTAGGATTCTAAGTAATGTCCATTGCCAGCCATGTAACCAGAAAGCCTGTTAGCGAATTGGAGGCCACAACACAAAAACTCGTTATTTTTGCACTGATGCTCGGAAACAGAGTTCTGAAACGCAGCTAACAATAATGGGGATGAGCCGGAGCTACGGACCAAATCTATTGGATGGGCCTAACCCATCTACAAACCAATCACCATGCCTAGCATCCACCAACCAGTCACCCTAAGGGTGTATTTCCACAACCTCGGTAGAGCACCTCGGCCCAATAGTCTCTGCAAGTTTTTGCCTCAACCTCTCCTCTCTTCCCTCATCTCTCCCCCTCCCCCCCAGGAGTTTGCTTCATGGTAGCACTTCGTGAACCAGCTGTCTCCAGAGCCCCCTTGCCTTCCTCTTGCCCGCCTCCCTCCACCTCCTCATCCTCCCCCTCCTCTATTCCTTTCACCACCACCACCACTTCCCCCCCCTCCTCATCCCCTCCCACTCCCACTCCCACTCCTTTCACCACCACCACCACCGCCTCTCCCTCCTCCCCTGTTGCCTTAACCACTACCACCTCCTCTCCCTCCTCCCCCTCCTCTCCCTCCTCGCCCGCCTCTCCCTCCTCTCCCTGCCTTACCTCCACTCCCCCCTCCTTCCTCCCCTCCTCTTCCTCCTCCCCTCGGTTTTGAGCCAGCTTCAGGCCGAACCTCCTCTCGAAATCCACATCTTTGCACCCGAACATGTACCCAAGCCCATACTTGTGCGCCTTACCCGCTTCCAGCAGCAGCTTGTAACGAGGACGGAGCCTCTTATCCACACTCCGCGTCAGCAGCGCCGGCCACATCGCCACGTCGGCAAGCCCCCGCCCCATATCCTCCACAACGAATCGAATCTTCGATTCTAGCGTCTCCCACGCGAACGCGATTATCAACGGCATCTGATTCATCATCCGAACCGCGTCCTCCCGCCCAAACGATTTAATCAGATTCGTTAGAGTCACAACCATGCTGTCCCAATTTTGCCCCAGCAGCAGCGGCTGACGCAACAAGAATCGGCGCGCTTGTTCCTCGCCAAAATACTCCACCATCCCTTTATAAGTCGCTTCCGTCGTCTCGTGCTTCACTAAAAGCAGCTGCGGGTACCGCCGCAGATAGTACAGTTTATCCCCGTTATAATCACCCAGGATCGACTGGATCAGAAGTACCTTCCGCTGGATCTCTGACGCTCTACCCCCCAAAACGAAAGGGGAAGTTTCGATAATATCCGCAACCGGTGCCAAACCTGCGAGCTCCAGTTGCCGAACCTTCTCTTTTAGGGTCGGTACGGTCAGGTTCAAAACGAACGGAAAACTCTGGACGACCTTGTCTATTCTCTTAACCCCTAAATCGTGCCGTAAAAAGTGCAAAGCCGCTGCGAGGGTTTCCTCCGAGACCGAGAAGACGCACGCGCGAGTCGCGGCGCGTAGAAGACTAAGCGACGAGATTCCGTACTCATTAAATAAAGCCGTCTTCTGGCTGGTGAGGGAGTAAAAATCTGTCTGGAAAAGCGAGGGGTTCCTAAAAAAAATAGTTAGAAGCTGCTTATCCGAAAGGGCGCCTCCTGATAGGTGGACGAGGAACAGAAGATTCTGACTCGCGATAGAGCCCATGCTGACGTGGCGTCTGGGGTATTTGACCGACAGAATGTGGAGGACGCGATTAAACCGGGTGGCTTCACTTGGGGGGAGAGAATCTAGTTGTGCCAATACCGTGTCGTACTCAGCCGCGTACAGCTCACCAGTAGTCCTTACTGCTCCCCCCTGTACTCCCTGTTCCTCCTCCTCATACCCTTCCCGCCTGCTGCTGCTGTTATTGCTGCCGTCGTCGCTTGGCGTCGCGTCCACGTCAGCAGCTCGCGTGGCAGCGACACGTGGAAATTGTTCTCGCGGTTGCTTCACGCTGCGCACTGAGCGCGCGAGCGTGAAGTTCTGAGGGTGTGCGAAGCTCCCGGCTTTGCGCGGAGCCGGCAAATGCGGGAGAGCGTGCGTCGAGCGGCACGCGCCATCGTCCCCGTGCGCGCAAGCCGCACGAGTCCCCGGCGCTGTTGGGGAGATCGGGGGAATTGCGCGGAGCAGCATCTTCCCCCACTATAGAGGAGGGAGCGGGCACTCAATCTATCGAGCGGGCACTCAGTCTATCGAGATCTCCAGTCCCTGACGCCGCTGCTGCGAACGTATCAGATCAAAATGGCTAGCGAAAAAAGGCAATATCTCCGGGCACGCGCTCGCGGAAAGGGCGCTATTTGTTGCAGTTGGGATCGCATGGGCTAAATCGAGGGGTTTTAGAGAAGGGTTCAAATCAAATTGGTTGAGGAACAACAATGGGGTGTGAGTGAATGCGACGCTGAATTGGAGTGGAGGGGGGATGAAGGGACAACGGATTTCTGCTCTGTGTACGAATTGAATGGATTTCGCAAGGTACAGTAACAGGATGAACAGAATAGAGCTTCGATATAGAAAACTGGTCAGATCTGCAGCTACATGTGACCGATGTATCAAACAGTTTGCCAATACAATTCAGCCAACTCTCACAGCGGCCTTCATGCCCTTCTCACAATCCTCCCCTGTTAATGATGCAAAGTACAAGCTGTACTTTTTTCTACTCTCTGTGGGGACTACAAACTTGTACACCCCATAGAATCTTGAGTTTAGGAGTTGTATAGCTCGAGACCCATCACAAGTATCATATGCTGCTTTATCCTCAAGCCAGTGAAGGTCATGTTGGCCAAGCCAACGGAACACTGAGGTAGGGAGGCAAGGGAAGTGGAGAATACACATTTGTTAATATGAATATGATAAGCTATTCCGCCCTTCTATTATAAGGAGGATACGAAGTTGCCTAATTCCGAAAAAAGTTCCCACAACCCGTGATAGGGAATTACATGCCCAACTCACCAAGAATATCTCCAGGTTTGACGGGGCGGCCTTGCCACTTCTGAGCGCCATACGTCCAGCCAAAGAACTTCTTTAGACCAAGACGAACCATGCGAGCCTGAAAGATGGCGAAACCCAAACCATGTAACCAATTTCAAATTTAAACTGGTGGGGTAGGGATGGCTGAAATGGAGAGTGAGGAGGAGACACTATGGATAAGACATTTCCAATGTGCAGACGTCTACCTGAAATACAGGAGCGAGTTGACTTTTGAGTCGACTCAAAAGCGGAGCATGAGAGTGCGGATAAGGCATTTACAACGTGCACAAGTCTACCTGAGATACAGGAGCGCCTGTTGCGGGGTCCAACAACGGCACCGTTGGGAGGCGACGCCGCCCGGCCAAGGGAAGAAAACGCATGGTCGAATAGGCGGCAGAGGAGAATTCGAGCGGGACGAGCCAGGAAAGGAAGGAGGGAGGAGAGAAGGGGTGGGGATGTGGGAAGGGGGGGAAGGAGGGAAGAAACGGGGAGGTGAGAAACTGCAGAGCGTGGTGGGGAAGAGAAGAAAGGGACAGTAGCAGAACACGGCGAGATGACTTTTGAGTCGACTCGAAAGACTTTTGAGTCGACTCGAAAGGGACAGTAGCAGAATACGGCGTGGTCGGTCGGCACTGCGAAGCAAACGCAGCAGAAGAAAACGGAGGACCTCCAATGCGCGATGCAGCTCTGCAGCTCTGTGGCTCTGTAAACCGAGGAAACTACACAGGTGATTTTTGAGTCGACTCAAAAATCAACTACATATTTTTCGGAAACCACACATTAGTTCCAAAGATGACGTGTCTCACAGAGCTGTAAAATTGTCTAGGCGGCTGCAAAGCGGGGGAATTCTGAGCACCCACTTGTTAGTACGAGAAGCGAGAGTAGCACGAACACGCATGCCGTCGTATTAATGGTGGACCTCGACCGAAGCGTCATTGCTGCGTGTGGAGCAAAGCCCCACGTTACCTACGGCGCCGCTTTTCCCTAGCTGAGGGCTGTACTGTGTACTGGATCAAGCGCTCTCTACGCGACAGTTCTAAATCTTCCGCAAATTCTCTACATTCAGCAGCAGCTAGTGCCGCTAAAGTGATTTGTTACACCTGAGAGTGCTCAAGCATGCGAAACGGCACCTACTGCCTTCGACGATCCTCAATAAAACGCCTAAGGCTTTAGTCAACTAAGCTACAGACACGCGAGGCGGACGGACACAGTGAGAGCGGAGTGGAGGAAGGTAAGGGAAGTGAGAAGAAAGGACCGTCTAACCAGGGGAATCAAGGGGCGAAGGGGGAAAACACGGACAGAGGAGGTGGTTGCCTGCCAAGTCAATTCCGTGAAATTGGACGGAGAGCAACAATGCGGCAACGAAAAATGAGAGGTTGACGCGAGAATTTGGTGGTGGGGGGCTCTCTTTTCGTTATACGGGACCCGGAGGGCACAGGGCTCGCCTCACAGAAGACCCTGAAAATTCAGCATTCCCAGGAAAATCACTCTGTTTTTCAGGAGCCCTTAAGCCTTCATAATACCCGCTTTGCACAGGCAGGATAGTTCGGTTCGGTACGAAGCGTCTTAGAGGATCGAAATACACCATAACAATCAGCACACTATCCTTGATGCTGAGGGCAGATTCCGCAGCGAGTGTTAGACCCGAGGGATTAGCGGGAACCTCGTTGGAGGGTGGGTAAACTATCTGTTGTGGGAGAAAATCACGATGCAGTTGCGGCCACGTTGAAGCCCACTAGGGCGAATCCGTCACAGGTGGTTTATATGTCAGGATGATTTTCAGGCCCGTGCGGATGGCTCTGGGTTCCGCCCAGTCAGGAGGTTTGTGAAACGTTCGGAAAGTGTCAGGAGGTTTGTGAAACCACCTCACTCAGAATCCGGATTCCATCGAAAAACACCCGAAATGTACCTGACATTCCGGATGTTTACCCTTGAACCGAGAGCCCTTGTGCAACGGCTGAAACGTGAGCGAACAATTTGCGGAGATCGCAAAGGTCCGCCGAGGCACATGTGTCCAGCTCGCGAGCGTTCGCGGGGGATATCGCCTCGCCAATCTTGAAATTTGAGAATTGGCGATTCGGTTTGGCCGCGAACAATTGAAGTGGGCAATTCCCGCGACTCTACGGGCTGATAGCGCGTACAATATAACAATTTCCGAGGATTTTCCCATCGATCAGATTGAGTCAATCTAGAGTATTCCTAACTTCCATCTCACAACAAGAAAGCCCAACACGTTGTGCACCCAAACATTTGTCTCTACAACTGCTTCCATTCGTCCAATTATTTATATAAAACAAAGGCCCCCTTTCGACCAGAAAATGGGGCACTAATCATCGTAATTATCTTGCACCGAGTATTGGGACTCTGATAGATCTACTTGACTAGAGCCTTCAGCCGCACTATCCCCACTTCCAGGTCCATGCAAACCTGTCGCTGCATCCTGGCCCCCAACGCGTGATAATACACCTGGAGCCATTACACTGCCTGAATCGTACTGAGTGTACGAATGCGGCAATGCGTAGCCGAACTCCTCTGGTGATGTATATGCCATACCCATGTCCTCTGCACCTAAGGCATATGGCATTTGCATGTACCCAGACTTGGCAGCTGACATAATCGGGGCACTGCTGCCATCACCAACACCATCAGAGCCACCGCTGCTGCCCGCACCACCATCAGCAGCCCCTCCAAAACCGCTCATTGCCATATGGTATCCAGGGGTGCCTATGGGGTACATGGGACTACCCATGGGATGCGCTGGGGAACCCATGCTCACAGTGTGCATCGGGCTACCAGTAACAGGTTGAGAGGGGTACGAGGAGCTCACCGTGGTCTGGAAGGGGCTGCTTATATGGGGTACAGGACTGTGCCTTGGTGCACCAGATTGCACAACGACCGAACCTGAGACCTCCGATTCTGTAACCGCTGCTTCGGATTCTGTAACAGAATCCGACTGGGGAAAGGAGAAGCTAGCAGCTGTGTAGTGTGCGCCTTCTGGCATACCCCCTCCTCCCCCTCCTCGTCCTCCTCGTGCCCCCCCCCTTCCTCCTCCTACAGTTTGAGCAGTACCCTGGGCGGCAGTGGCTTGTGCGGCGGTCTGGGCGGCAGCTTGGGCGGCGGCACGGGCGGCATATGCCGCAGCATAGGCGGCTGTGGCAGCACCAGGTGCAAACTCAGTGTAGAATGACGAGCCTGTCTCTGCTTCGGAACTGGTAACCACTGAACTGGTTACAGATGCAGAGTGGGGGAAGGCGGGAATTGTGCTTGTAGTATAGACACTTGGTACTGTAGAAGGAATTGTTTCTGCTTCTGTTCCCGCCTCTGCGCTTGTGCCTGTAATGGAGTCCCTGTCAGCTTCAGTTGATTCCCTCGTTAAAGTCCCCTCGGAATAAGGTGCATCTGCTTCTGCTGTAGTCTGTGAGTCAAATGTTGTCGTCGTATCGATCGTTTGAGGGGTGTAGCCGGGTGAAGCATAGATGGATCCGCTATAAGCTGCTGGAGTGTATGCCGAGGATGGGGTGTAGCCAGGAGTGTACGCAGTTGGGGTGTAGGCAGATGGAGTGTACGCTGCTGATTGGGTGTAGACTGTAGATTGAGGCCCCGGTGTATAAGCGGATGGAGTGTACCCAGATTGTGTAGTGTAGCCAGATGGTGTATAAGCAGAGTAAGGAGTGTATCCGGATCCACTGTAAGCAGATGGAGTGTACGTCGAGTACCCAGCTCCAGACTGTATCGTGTACGACTGCGTGTACGCGCTATAAGGGGTGGCCGCCGAAAGTGGGGTCTGATCTGAACGCTGTACACTGTCCGGAGTGTAGCTCGACGATAGTGGCGACGATCGCGAGTCCGTGTGCGAATCTGTGTGCGACTGAGCGGTGGATTCGGAGTACTGCGACTCGCTGTCTTCGCGACTCGACTCGGTTAGGCTCGACCCCGTGCCCTGGCGACCGATGCTCCCGATGTGGTCCGGAATGCCTGCCGAAGCTAGCACCGCCGCAGGGTCGGATGGCTGCAAGGAAAGGGCAAATGCGGTGAGGAGGAAACGGGAGACGAGGGAAGGTACCGAATGCGGTGAGGAGCAAATGCGGGAATGAGGTACCGACTACTGATAGTGGCGGAGGAGGGATGGCAGGAGGAAGAGAGAAATACAGAGCTGAAGTCAATGGGGGGGGGGGGGGAGGTGAGGGGGGGAAAGAAGACTTGTTAAGGCCACATCTTGTCATCTCTAAAACGTATTTGACCGTGGATGGTGTTTTCTCCGTGTACTCGTCGAGATATGCCAATCTACTTACACAGGTCAGCGGCCCATACGATAGTTCCCTTGGGGACCCTTTAAGGAGACCCTACTTACGAAGTAGCTTGGAGGGCCATACGACAGTCCCATCCGGTGCGCCCCTATTCCCACGCCGCCGCCGCCTCTATCGGGCGGCGCTTCGATGTACAGTTCGTCTTTTTGCTCTCCCAGCATCTCCCTCCGTTTCCTCTCCCGGTCCTCCCTGAACCTTCTCGCGCCTGCTAATAACGCGTACTCGCCCATGTCCATGACCTGTCTCCGTTTGTAGCCGCCCGGATAGTAGCATAGCTTGAAATATACTAACAATACGAGCGTGATTAGGAAGCTGGCTGTTGTTAGGGCGATCCCGAGGGGTAACTCTCCGGGTTTTAAGAGCGGCTCGAGGATTGTATCGGGAGTGACGTCAGGTACTGCCGATGCCATGTTCCCTTGGCGGCTGTGTGACTGAAACTGATTTGAATATGGGGAAGTGCTGCTACTCGTACATGAGGAGAGTGTTTCAGGACTAAGTGCGCTCCACTCATACGGTACGGGGAGTTCCCTTCGAGGTTAGGCTCTCCTATGAGGCAAACGCGTGCTGCTGCATTCAAGATCTTGCTTCGAGGGGAAACGGAGAAGAGAGGCTGTGTGAGAATGGAAGCGTAGCGCCGCCGAATGCCCAATGAATGCCGAAGGAGGCAGAAGGCACAAAATGCTAGTTTAGCAGCCAACAGCAGAACAGACTTTCGTTGGAGAAAGAGATGACGACGATGGCAAGAAGTTCCAATTTCCACCGTGGAAATTGACGCCTTCTCGATACAATACAGCTTGGGCTGGGTTGCTGGGTATTGCAGTCACCCACCCACATGCATCCTCTTGCCCCGCGTCGCGCTGAACCGAGCCGCATGTGCGACGCGAGAGTATTGAGGAGTATGGCGAGTCTGATAGGCTTACAGGGTTGATGACAAATCGATGGGCCTTTTTTGGGCCTGGCGACATAACGAAGCGCTTAGCGACAATTCGGGCATGCGTAACCAGTTTCGGAAGTGCGGAAACACAGCTCATTCCTCGAAACATATTTTCCCCAATCGCCAAACAGATGTCAAATAAAAGAGCATAAAACAACACCACCACCCACTAAAAGTGAAAATCTCAAAGAACAATTCAAATCCTCGTCCAACATCAAAGCCCACCCGAACCTGCCTGACTTTCCCTGAACTGTGCCATGGTAGGCAGGTGACTTCCACACGCCTTATTCTGGCACCGTTGCTTCCTCGACGAGCACAGCTCGCCACAGACACACTCCTTCACCCACGCCCCTCCTGCTATCTGAAACGCCTTGAACCCATCCTTCTCCAATACCTCACCCACCGGCTGCATTTCCACCTCCCGTGTTTGCACCACAGTCGCAGCCTCCCCAGCTGCAACCTCCCAGGCCCCTGTAGCAGTTGCAGGAGTAGTTGCCTCAGACCCACTGGTACCAAAACCACTGGGAGGGGAAGTGGCATGAACAGTGCCCTCAGCACCAGTGGCATCAGTGCTGCCAGCAACAGCAGCATCAGCAACACCACCAGCAGGAGCTGCCTCCGATTTCAGCTTGCCATCATCACCCCCGCCAACCCTCTTCTCCTCCTCTCTCACCACGCTCCCTCCCACTGCTACAGCCTCGGGAGCTGCCAAAGCAGCAGCTACCGCAAAGTCTCCCTCCTTACTCTCACTCTCCTTTGAGTCACGCCCCTTACGATCACTCTCCTTCCCCTCAATGCCCTCGCCTCTCCCCTCAACTGCCCCTCCCCCATCCCCACCACCACCCCCACCCGCCCCAAGCCACAGCTCCGGGGTCCTCTTAACCCAAGCTGCCACCTCAGCGCCGTTAGCCACCACCAGCCTCGGCCGAACCTCATCGCTTTGGAACGGCGACCCGAGCCTAGCCAGCTCCGGAACCACCGCGTCCCTGAGATGCCTCTTCCTAGCCCGCCCCACCCCTACCTCAATCTCGATTTCACGCGGTAACCGCTTCCCAGCCTCCACCGCTGCTGCGATCTGCTCCAGCCAATAGCGCAGCGCCACCTGTGCGCCGTGGTAGGATAGGCCAGAAAGATGCAGGGTCCAGCGGGACCAATCGCGCGACGACAGCTGTTCGATCTGGTGCGAGCTGACCATGGCTTTAAGGAGGGCGACTGCGGTGTCCTGTTGGTGGAAGAGCCAGAGGAGGCTCAGGAGGTTGTTACAAAGGGGCTTCTGCCCCCTGGGAGGGATGGTGGTTAAGGTTTGGTCGAGCAGGGAAGCGAAACGAGCGGTGCGCTTTGCTGCTGCCGCCGCTGCTGCTGCTGCTGCTGCTGCTGCTGCGTCCGGTGCTGAATCCCCCTCTGCTGCTGCTGCCCGTTGTGCCAAAGCTGCTGCTTCCCCTTCTTTCGCCGCTCCCTCCTCCCCATCTCGAGCCTCTACCACCTTATCCAGCGCCTCCCCTAACCCGGTCAGCACCAGGTCATGGATCCGCGAGTCAACCTCTTTCAAGCAAGCCAGGAGAACCTTCCTCGCACCTACCACACCCTCTTTCCCACCCACAGCAGCAGCAGCAGCAGCAGCCGTAGGAGCAGCAGCCGTAGGAGCAGCAGCAGCAGCAGCAGCAGCAGCAGCAGCAGCAGCCGTAGGAGCAGCAGCAGCAGCAGCAGCAGCAGCAGCCGTAGGAGCAGCAGCAGCAGCAGCATCTCTAGGCACCTCAGCACGCTCACCAGGCTCCAGGCGCTCCCTGGCTTTCCCAGGGGAGGTGAACCCCAGCAGGTCGAGGAAGACAGTGGCCATGCGGGTGTCGGGTTCAATTCCTGCTGCGCGCATTTTCTGGAAGTAGTGTGCGGAGAGGTCGAAGCGGCCCGCCTTGCCAAAGCCGTGGATGATTGCAGTGTAAACAGCCAACCCCGCGCTTGCTGCTGCTGCTGGGGATGGTACTGCTGGTGCTGCTGGCGTTGCTGGTGCTGCTGATGGGCCTGCTGGTGATGCTACTGGCACAGGAGTTAGGCCACTAAGGTCAACCCCCAGCCCATCATACTCCGAGTCTGAGCCACTGCTACTGCTGTCTCCCCTGCTGCTACTGCGGGTTTGGCTGCTACTGCTGCCCCCGAGATAGATCCCAGCTGCTCTCGCATCCTCCAGCAAAGCTTCTACCTCTACTACAACCGGATCAACCACAGCAGACTCTGCTACAGCCGGCCCCGCTACAGCCGGACTTCCCACAGCAGACCCTGTATTACCAGCTTCTCCCTTCATCTCTCCCCGCCCGCCCTTCTCAGCAATCAGCCCTGCGAGCTGTCTAAGGCTGTTCTCAGTCAACGGAACCCCGTCCCTCTTCATGCTCCCATATGCCCTCCGAGCTTCCTGCACTAATCCGTTCTCGCGGCACGCCTGCAGAATCACACTGTAGAAGGTCGCGTCCGGCCGAAACGGCCCGTCTCTGGGGTTCTTCTTTTCGCTCCGCTGGCCGTCCTCGTTATAAGCCCTGCTCCTGTCCTCGTTATAAGCTCCCTCGTTACTGTGGCGGAAATTCTCCTGCACTTCGTCGGCCAGGGCTAGCGCCTTCTCCACCTCGCCCTTCTCAGTGTACAGCGCCAGCATTATAGTCACCGCATCTGTAGTCACGGGCACTATAGGGTCGTGCTGCATGGTTCGGAAGACAATCTCTGCCTGGAGGTGGCGCCACGCCTTTGCAAGCACGTTCAGGGTTGCGTGGTACACCCCTGCGGTTACCAGCGGCGTAAAAGCTGCTGCTGGTGGTGATGCTGCTGCTGCTGGTGCTGCTGCGGCTGCTGCTGGTGTTGATGGCGCTGCAGCCCCTGGCTCTGGTGCTGTTGCTGCTGCTGTTGCTGTTGCTGGCTCTGGTGCTGTTGCTGCTGCTGCTGCTGTTGCTGGCTCTGGTGCTGTTGCTGCTGCTGCTGCTGCTGCTGTTGCTGGCTCTGCTGCTGCTGTTGCTGCTGCTGTTGCTGTTGCTGGCTCTACTGCTGCTGCTGCAGATGCGTCTGCTGCAGCCGCTGCAGCCGCTGTGGGTACAGCCACACCAGAAGAAGCCTCCTTACCAGAAGAAGCACCTTCCACCACCACCCCCTCCCCCTCCTCTCTTCCCTCCGCCCCCTCACCCCCTCCCCCACCCCTCTTCCAGCTCCCCTTCTCCCTCTCCCCCATTCCTCCCTCTCCACTCCCCTCCTCCCCCCTCCCCCTGTCAACCCTCCTCATCTCCTTAAACAGCTCATAGGCCTCTTGCGGACCCCCAGCCTCGCCAAAAGCAGTGATGATAGTGGCGTAGGTCACCGCGTCAGGGCGCCACCCAGTGGCCCGCATGCGCTCAAACACCCTCACGGCGTCTGCCGGTCTCCCTGCCCGTCCTAGCGCGTGCATGACTGTAGCATACGAGACTTGATCCGGCATGCAGGGGGATGACGCCATGCGCTCCAGCCACTGCAGGGCTAGGTCGTGCTGGTCCGCTCTGCATATGGGGGGAGGAGAAGGGCAGGGGGGAAAGAATTTAGGGTTTGAGTGACAGGGTCTTCTGGCCTGCCCGCCCGCCTTGGCGCGTGCATGACAGTGGCGTAGGAGACCTGACCCGGCATGCAGGGGGACGACGCCATGCTCCCCAGCCACTGCAGAGCTAGGTCGTGCTGATCCGCACTGCGTATTGGGGGAATGGGGAAAGGGGGAGAGGGGAATGGGAAACAAATTGCCCCAGAGCAAGGAACCTTGCAGAAAGCGTAGGGGACCTGATCCAACCAGTGTTGACTTCTCCTGCAGATTCTAAGAAAAAACAGGCTCTACACTGCAACCGCAATCACGCACTATCACATACCCGTGAGAAGAGGTTACTTCTGGACGCCTCAAAACATACCCGTGAAGACGTTTCGAGAGTTCGAGAAAACTCTATACCAGGAGTTAAGCACCAAGCAATATCATGTCACATACCGTGTAGCGGAGCTGATAATAGTGGAGTATGTAACATTATCCATCTCCACGCCATCTCGAGTCATCTCCGTTATAAGCTGCTCCATTGCCGCCCACTGCCGCCCCCTTCCCAGCGCGGAAAGGACCAGGTTGTACACGTACGTGCTGGCTTGAAAGTACTCCTGGAAACAGGAGGCGAGAAGGCACGGAATAGGGAACAGGGAAAGAGTGTGTGTGTGTGTGTGTGGAGGGTAGGAGGGGGGGGGGGGAGGGGAGTTGGAAGGGAGGAAGGGTGGGAAGGGGGAGGGATTGGGATGTGCTGCAGAGAGACACGGTCGCCCCCTTCTCAGTGCGGCTAGAACCAGGTGCCTCCCTCACCTGCCTCCCTCACCTGCCTCCCTCACCTGCCTCCCTCACCTGCCTCCCTCACCTGCCTCCCTCACCTGCCTCCCTCACCTGCCTCCCTCACCTGCCTCCCTCACCTGCCTCCCTCACCTGCCTCCCTCGCCTGCCTCCCTCGCCTGCCTCCCTCGCCTGCCTCCCTCACCTGCCTCCCTCACCTGCCTCCCTCGCCCATTCGAAGAACGCCACGGCCATGCGCCAGTCACCACGTCACTCGTTTCTTTCAACACCGTCACCACGTCCCTCCCCGCCTGTGAGTAACATATACCTGTCTGCACTGATACCGGTTTTAACCGAGCCATACCTGTTTAAACCGAGCCCTACCGGTGTAAACCTAGCCTTACCTGCCTCCTCGCCCACTCGAAGAACGCCACGGCCATGCGCCAGTCCGCGGTCTCCTTAAGCACCGTCGCCACGTCCCGCCCCGACAGCTTCACCCCCATCTACACCTGTCTGCGTTGACACCGGTATAAACCGAGCCCCACCTGCTTGCAACGAGTACCATCGCCACGCCCCGCCCCGACAGCTTCACCCCCATCCGCTCCAGTCGACCCGCCACCCTCCCCCCTCCCACCTGCTTGCACACGTACCTGTTTGAACCGAGCCGTACCTGCTTGAACCGAGCCGTACCTGTCTCCTCGCCCATTCAAAGAACGCCACGGCCATGCGCCAGTCCGCCGTCTCCTTAAGCACCGTCGCCACGTCCCGCCCCGACAGCTTCAACCCCATCCGCTCCAGCCGACCCGCCACCCGCTCACTCCCCCCAATGCTCCCCCCATCCCTCCCCCCATCCCTCCCCCCATCCCTCCCCCCATCTCTCCCCCCATCTCTCCCCCCATCGGCACCATCATTTCTCCAGACATCCACACTTCCCGCGCGCCGGTCCCCGCCGCTCTCCTGCGCCAACACATCGAGCACCTGCACCACGCGCGGCGGAAAAAACGCGCGCGCCCACGCATCATCGGAGTCGGCGCCAGAAGCGGAAAGCGGAGCAGCTCGTATCGGATCGGGGCTCGGCGCGGAGGGAGCTAACCGGCCAGTGGTGCGCGGGCGAGAGAACTGAGGGTTCTTCAGCTCCCTGGGGGATAAGCGGGAGCCCCGTGAATTGGCGCTCGCGCCTCTAGCGACGTCCTTGCTTCTATCGGCAGGGCTGGAGGATCGACTCCAGGAACGATCGGTAGAGGAACGATCCGCTGCGGAACGATCGAGCCTGCGATAAGATCCATCCGACCCCCGCTGACTCGACGCGTTGCCCTGCCTCGCTCCGCTCCACCCGCCGTCACTCCCGCCGCGACTCCCGCCACGCCCACGTGACGACCCACCCCCGCGACCCCGGTTAAACCCTCCAGATGATGACCTCTGATATGACCCCGAGGTCGACCCCGAGGTCGATCCAGAGGTCGACCCCGAGGTCGACTCGGAGGTCGATCCACCGCCGCCGCGATCGGCAAAGCCACCTCGACGGCCGCCCGACCCACCCCGACCGCGACCTCGGTTAAACCCTCCCGATCTGGTAAACCCACCCTGCCTTCTATTCCGGTCAAAACCCTCCTCGCCTCCTTCGCTCCGATCCTTTTCAGATGACCGCTCGCCGGAACTAGCGCGAGACTGGGCGGGAATATCCCCGTTAGAAGCAGCTGAGGCCGCTCCGCTTGAAGCTAGCTGGTCTGAAACCGCCGCACCAACTGAACCCCCGTCCCCCGATTCAGTCACACTGGCCCGTATAAGCACATTCCGTTGAGTAACACGTATTCTAAGCCCTTCGGATCTAGACGAATGCGCGAGGGGGCGCAATAGAAAGGCACGATTGGAACCGAGAGCCGCCGGGGAAGGACGCAAGCTAGGGTATTGGAGTGAGGTGGTGCCACGTGGCAATGCGAGCACGCTTTGTGAAAGAACAACGGCTCCTAAAGGAGCCATCTTGATTAGTCTTTAATCTTCCAAGCGCAATACGCGGCGAACACGGGAACCGACACAGCGAGAGAAGGTTACGTCGTTAGCCGCAACAGGGAGAGCCCGCTCCAGGAGATGCTAAGACAAAGCGAAACTGGCGGAGATATCAAGGCCCAGAAGCTTCTGATTAGGCAGAAAATGTTGGGTGAAGGATAAGAGAAGTCAGACTGAGGGAGAGGAGGAGGGATGTAGCTGAGGGAGGTGGTAACCCCAAATTCAGGATTCGCGAAAACGAACAAGTCGATCAAGGGGGGAATACGCCGCGATGGGCGAAGCGGCGAAAACCGTCTGTCCAACCAGACGAAATGGTCTATGTCCACCCAATGAAGTCACTACATAATAAATACATAATAAAAAACTTCAGCATATCCATATGCATCAACACATGTCTCTACAAACAACCTCCTTTACACCAGATCTGATTTAGCAAGCTTCTTTTCAATGAGGGCAATGCATTGGCCAACAGACTCGCCACTCAGCATAACATCTGCCAATTCTTCGTGTAGCCTTTTATGGCGCCGCAGCAGTGTCGCCACATTCAACACCGCCCAGCGCACCACATCGTCTGATTTCCTCTGGGTAAACCCCAATGATCGATACAAGAAATCCAGCTGCAAACACAAGGGTCAGTAGAGGTGCAAAAATATGGCAGGGTTGAGACGTGAAGGCTACATAGACAATGAGGCCAACACCCATGTAACTAAGGTAAAAAAAAATCAACAAAGAGGCAGATATATCCAAGGAGCAAGTTCGAATAACGTACCTGTTGGATGTCAGCAACACCCCCCTCTGCGATCCCAAATTGCAGGTACTCGGCACACACTCCAGCTAGAGCGACACAGGAAACGGCATCCAGCATCTGAAGCACATCGGCACAGCAGGGAGAATGGTGGAAACAAGAAGGGAAAGCAGTAACAATAAGTGAAACACCAATGGATCAATAAAGCCCAGTAGAATTCAAGCACTCCCCATGGCTGGGTCTGATGGATTATGCCACTTAACATAACTTACATCGGACTTGATTTTGCCGTGTCCTTGTTTGCTACTCGAAGTCGAGAAACGGGAATGTGGTGTCTGCTTGCACGTTGAGAGCGCCGTAGCACTGATAGGCGTCCAAACTGGAGAGACCAAGGAGGTATGCACTTACATCAGATTTGATTTGCCATGTCCTTGTTTGCTTCTGGAAGTCGAGGTCAAGGAAGGTGGTGCCTGCTTGCACGTTGAGAGCGCCGTAGCGCTGATAGGCGTCCAAACTGGAGAGAGTGAAGCCGCGTGGAGGGATGCCCACTAGGTAGGAGATGAGGAAATGACCCGCCTCATGCTGCATTGGGGGGAGTGGTCAGGGGCGAAGTAGCGATGTGAGACGTTGAAACCAGTTGCCAAGAGGTTGAGAATCCACAGGAGTGAAGCCGCGTGGAGAGATGCCCACCAGGTAGGAGACCACGAAACGCCCCGCCCCATGCTGCAGGATGGGCGGAGACAAGAGGAAAAGTTGCAGTGTGAGTTTGTTGAAATGGGGGTGGAGGGGTAAAGAGTCTACAGGCATTCAAACTGGAGAGAATGAAACCACATAGGGAATGCCCACCAGGTAGGATATGAAGAGGCGCCCCTCCTCATGCTGTAATATGGAAGCAGCAGTGTGAGACGTTGAAACAGGTTGACTCGTGGTTGAGAATCCACAGGAGTGATGGGGGACTAATAGATCATGGGGAAAAGGGAATGATATGCACATTTCATCAAAATGTCGAGAGTGGGATTTGAACCCACGCCCTTTCGGACTGGAACCTTAATCCAGCGCCTTAGACCAACTCGGCCATCTCGACACATTCCGCTTTGACAACTGACGAATCCAATCAGAACTGATGACTGCAAACTTTTTCTCCCCATGAGGCATGTCTTTGATTCCTGGAGATTTACATACCTCCACTCCGTAAGTTATCCTACCTTCTCCACTCTACCACTCACACACCAGCATGTATTCCCTCAAACCCAGCCACAAGCTGCTCTTCCCTCCCATTGTCTCTGTTTCCGTTGACAAAAACCAGTGCCTGTTTGTGGTACCAATGAAAGGGATCACCACCATACTCACCACCACCGCCATCACATGAACCACAACCACACCCATAACCATCACACCCAACACTATCACACCTGTCACCATCACATGCATCAAAATCACACTCACCAGAGCCACTCGCTTGCGGTAGGTCGGGTTCAGCAGATGGCCCAAAGTGTCCACCAGTAGCGCCTCGCCACCTCCACCAGTCGACACCTGAATGAACAATCGGGTTTACAGCGGGCATGAACAATTCGCATGCGTGGGCACCAGGGCTTATTTTTTATGGGCAACTACCTGGATTTTCGCAACATAACAGGTGAGTTCTTCACCGGAGCTGGATTCTGATGGGTGACTTTTGGCAGAACAGGGTGTTGAACCCGGATTTTGATGGGTAGCTTTGACCAGATACCCAGATCTGCCAGGTACCCCGAGATACAGAAGTAAGCCCTGGTGGGCATGGAGTCGGACGGGAATAGCAACCATTGAAGAGCCAAGCACGGCTCCTGGGGAACTTGCAGAGCAAGTTGACAGGTGTTACAAGCCACTTCACGCAGGACCTGCCTCACAAGACTTTTCCCTTAGCGTGACATTTCCTTGTGTGACGCACCGACATTGAATCCATATCCCACCTGGTCTACAGTGCCGATGAACAATAACCCGATGACCAGCCCCAGCAGCTGCCATTGGTCCAGGTGTTCGCCCCACCACGTGGCAACCAGCCCTGCCAGCAGCGCCAGCTGACCCCCCTGCCTCACACCCGCTAGGGTGGTATCTCGCGGCGCCAGCATGCGAGCAGGGTCTATCTTGTGCAGTTTCAGCTCCTCTAGGGTGTACGAGCGGCGGGGAACCTGGTAGCAGGGAGGAGGGGATAAGAGGAGAAGGAAAGGGCATGGGAGGGATGCAGAGTGAGTGATCCGTCTCTAGGCGGTAGCACGTGGGCAGGGTCTATCTCATGCTTTTGAGAATTCTCAAAAATATTCTCAGAAACACCCTGCAAAGAAGTAGCACGCGGGCAGGGTCTATCCTGAGCAGTCAAAGCTCGTCTAGTGTCTACTTGATATAGAGATAGCGTTTTGAGTCGACTCAAAACGAAATTACGAGCCGGGTCTATCTTGTGCAGTCATAGCTCGTCGATTGAATAAGAGCGGCGAGCCTGGCGGGAAAATTTGAGGCGAGAAGCCGATGACACGTAAGCATACGCGTGGATCTACTACGACTTCTGGACTAGAATTTAATTAAGATAAGAGCACTCACCTGCGACGCCGCACCGAAGGCTCTGAAAACCTTCTCATCCGCATTCTGCGGCCCCACACCGTCCACAGATTCGCTGGTTTCACTGGATTCGCCGGTGCTACCGGCTAGCCGTTTCACCAGCGCGAGCGCCTCCTCCTCCTTGCCTTCCGCCAGCAGCGCGTCGAGTTCCGCCGTTCCGCCGCTCAGCCGCGACTGCCACGTGGCTTTCGCGGAGGCATTCTCCTGTGAACCAGTAGTTGTCTGAGATCCTGTGCTTGCAGCTCGAGGGAGAATCGATAGTCGGCGGGAACGCGGTACAGTCGATGGGAAATGAACGTCACGTGCCAGGAACTGCTGTCTGGTGTTACAAGAAATCGTCCTAACGTAGTTCCTGATAGTACTACTTCTTCGATACGGAACCACCGCAGGTCCTCTGGACGGACATCTGAGAATTTGGTACGTCCCACCAGATTCGGCAAGTCTGGTGGTAAGCCTAACCTGCAGAGCCAGCGAATCCATAACCCACGGGCACCGCACGTATTTGAGGACCACTAAACGGAGGTTGGCGACACGCAGAACCAGAAAACGTTGGGAAGCTACTTCGTACCGTAGTAGCAGTGCTTCTCTACTAGAACATCCTCAGAAGGCCTCTTCGGGAATCCTGATTTCTACAAGGGAAGAATTGCGGGGATGAAAGTTGCTTGCTCGACAGTACTATCCGCGTTCGGGGTGGGTGCGATATTGATTTAAGAGGGGCTGGTGTTTTATGTTCCTTTTTCAAGCAAAATAAAAAACTGTAGCGATGCTGGTTGATATGAACGTCGTGTCCATGTGGAATCTATAGGCAATGCCGCGTGGCTGCTTGTGGAGATGCCACATCTTGAGGACCACGTCACCTGCAAGATTCGTGAAGTGCCTCGCTAGTAGCTTCTCGAGGATTTCGCCTATAGACGACACTAATCTCGACCTTAGCTTAATGTTCCAATGGGGATAATGTGCAACTCTCGCGTCTGGGTTACGGCCAGCAATTGCTCCTGCTTGGTGGGGCTTGAATTTTTTTGAAACCAGAAAGTCCTCATCGGCCCGCCCGCGCTGACATGTCACACATCAGCACCACCCACAGCTGTCTACTCTCTGATTGGGAGACAACTGTCACAGGTGTTCCGCGCCACCCTCTTCCGCCTTATGATTGGAGGAGTCATTCCCTTAACTTGCTATCAGCCAATCATTGGCAGTCTTGCTGACGTGTGTGGTCCATTCCCCCCAGCAGTGCTTCAGTGACATGTGTGTTCCTACCCCTAGTTATCGAGATTGGAACGATCCGATTGGTTGGAAATCGCGAACCACTCACTCACACGAGCTGCCACGCACTGACCTACTCGACCCTTTTGTGCATGTTATTCGCCAATTTCGTTTTCTCAATTCGCCCACGTCGCTGCTGATTTCTGGCTCGACGCTTCAGCACACCTGTGGTTGTGAATGCAAGAGCTTTAGCGACTCGGCATGTTCGTGGCTCTTCCGCCCAAGTGCAGTCAGCCGAAGAGTGGCGCAAAGCGCCCCATGCGACTGGGAATGGGGCTCACGAAGGGCAGCGATTGGGGGGCACAGCGCGCGGATCAGGACGAAGCGCGGGCCAGAGCTGTAGAAGGGGGGGCGAATCTAGTGCAGAGTCGAGACGCGAGGGGCGCGCGAACCCTCCGATTTGCGAGTAGCGGGAGGCAGCGCAATTCAATGTGGCGCCGATGGCATGCATTGCATGGGGATGCGTCGGTGGAAAACGGGAAGGGTGACGAACAAACCGTTCGCATTCTCCCTGCCCGCAGGTGTGTAGACTGACAAACAAACAGCAGCCTGAAATCGGCATTGCCTTTCCAAGTTATGTATTTATCCTGTGTCGCTGCCGCCATTCACTGCTCACTCTACTAGTTCGTACTGTGCTTTCAGCAGCATTTCAGTTTCATTCCTGGCCGGCGTTCCCTTGCTTATTACCCTCTTCTGCTACCGAGTTCTAGAGTCTCCTCCTCTCGGTGCGCTTGGGATCAGCTGACCAGAGATACGAAATTGTTGTGCAATTGGTCGACATATCATCGCGAGCTACCCATGGCTACCACGATAAACGACCTCCCCGAGAACTGCCTCGCCACGATTCTTTCCTTCCTCACTCCAGCGGCCGTCGGTCGAACCGCGTCGGTCTCCAAGATGTGGCTATCAGCCGCCAAGTCGAGCACGTGCTGGGACCGCCTCATCTCCAATGGTCTTCCTCCGTGCTTTCGCGAAACTCCGGCAGCCCTCGCAAAAGACGAACGAGGCCTTCGCGATACGCTCGGCGAAGGGTTGATGCTCGACGACGGGCGTTACCACATCAAGATGGACCCTGCGACGTCGCTGATCACCGTCAGCGTCAGCGTCGCACAGGTCTTCGAAATCCTGTGGGAGGATCGCGACCAGGATCGCATGCGACGGCACGACATCACCGGTGCGATCTTCGACGACGCGTCGCACGGAATCGTCATCCACTGGCTGAGCACCTGCGGGAAAATCGACCTCCCGTTTAAACTCCGAAGCGGGTACTACCGCATGTCGTGGCGCGTCGCACAAGACAACGACGGACCGCGGAGGTCCACAAGTCCGAAGCGCAGATTTTTGCGGTCGCAGGAGGAGCCGTTGATTAGTCAAGTGCGCGACGCGACGACTGGACACGTGGTGCAGCATGATCTTGACGACATTCGCCGATGGATCTCGACCACGCCCACGTGGACTCGCATGCCGGCAGGCCTGCTGCGCGTTGGCGACGGGGGATCGTCGGGTAACGCGGCGTTGGAGTTCGCGAATGTTCGCGTGATTTCGACCCTGACGGATATTTCGCGACAGCGGCGAAAGCGCGGCCTGTACCTGGACGCGTTCGTGCTGGAGCAGATTTCTGTGTAACCCTACCTTCGCAATATGGACTCAGAGACGAAGAGGCGAAGAGGTGGCGATCAGAGGTGGCGAGAAAGCTTTCACGAGAGGTGGCGCTTTACCCAGCAAGGCGAAGAGTGATGCGACCAATCCTACTTCGCATGGGATGGTTACCACTTCGTCCTGCGAATCGACCACCCGAGTGAGTTCAGCACAGAGGGTGTGGGTATGGCGTAACTTGAAGCCCGTAAGGAACAATCTGAAATGTTTCGAACCAATTAATGGAGCATGAGAGGCATAAACGGATGGAAATTGGCGGGAAGAGAGGCGGGAGGAGGGGGGTGAGGAGGGGGAAATCCGCGTGAGGACCCAATGGTTTGAGATTGACGGCGCTGCTAGTGCTGTTGTTGGTACGGCCGAAGAAAGTGAAACGAGATGGGGCGTGATGGGGCGTGTTTCGGTATTGGCTTTAACGGGACGAGGGCGCGAAGCGGAGAAGGGTGTGTTGCTGCGGTTTCGGAAGTCCGGTGTTTCGGGAATTGAAGGGTGTCTGAAGAGCGAGGAGGAGACGGGTGCGTCAGCGTTCCGGCGCTCCCCAGGGGATGGCATGGCACGTTTTTCGGAGCTCGGAAATGAAAGCAGTTGGGCTCGGGAGGGAACAGGAGGGATGGGCGGAAGGCGCGAGCTCGGTGATGGGCGGCGAAATACGGCGGTGTTGCGTCGCTGACGACGGCGGATTGACTAGAATTTCGAGTGGTTGTGGGGCGACTGCGTCTGTCGGTAGAACGCGAAGCAGAAGCAGGAGAGCGCATGCATGGCTGAGTCGGCAAATCAAGCAAGGATTAGAGGTGAAGCTCTGTGGGAATCGGGTGTCATCAACCTCATTCAGCAATCGGGTTCCTTGAACTGCGTTTGTCCTCGATAGTAACTTAGTGGGCTGTACAGTTTAACTCGGGTGGCGAAGTCACCTACCGATTGATATTAATTTACCAGAAGTAGGGGTATATTGAGGGTTGTGGGGTTATGTCTTGGGCTGAATAATTTGAAAAGCAGCGTGGTACTGATCTTCCTGTTATAATTCAATACTGTGGAACTGATACGGAAACGAAACACTATATTACAATGTGTTCCTTGTCACGCTATCAAATCAGAGCAGCAACAACTCAGCATTCGCAAGAATCACAGCTTCCCCACTGGTAATTCTCAAAATAGCCACCCCTCCACTAGTCTCTGTCCATCCTAAGCTGCAGCAGCTGCTTCCTTTCCACCAGAATGGACTGGCAGACAACGGTACAGGCAACCAGAGCACCACCACCAGTCCTCTACTCTTATACTACGCGAATAAAAACACATTCCCCCCTCTCCCAAACACCAGAGCTTGCTTCATCCTCAAATACCCGCCCTTCCACTGGTCCCTGTCCTTCCTAAGCAGCAGCAGCTGCTGCCTTTGCACGAGCAAGTGCCTGGCAGCAGCACAGGCGAGCAGAGCAGCTAGGATTGCACCAATATTCGTATGCTATGTGCAAAAACGCACATTCCCTCCTCTTGCAAGCACCAGAGCTTGCTTTATCCTCAAATATCCGCCCCTCCACTGGTCCCTGTCCTTCCTAAGCTGCTGCAGCTGCTGCCTTTGCACGAGCAAGTGCCTGGCAGCAGCACAGGCGAGCAGAGCGGTCAGAGAGAGCACCCACACAGGCAGCTGCACTCCCCTGCAGCAACAAGTGTCCCTGCCATTGCGCCTACTGTTGCCTGCTGCATTTGTTCTGCTGCACCCACAGCCATTGTCACCTTCCGCACCAGCAGCAGAAAGAGGAGGAAGAGCAGCAGCAGCAGCAGCAGCAGCAGCAGCAGCAGCAGCAGCAGCAGCAGCAGGAGAGGAGGAGGCCGTAGAAGCAGAAGAAGCATGAGGAGGAGGACGAGGAGGTGGACGGAAGGGAAAACGAGCTCGTTGATGAGCAGGAGGAAAGATGAGATGAGGAAAGCTAAGATGATGGATAGGAGAGTGGAGAAACGCCTCGGGCGAAGGAGAGTTCGTGAAGGTTCTTAAAGGCTGGTCTGACGCGTGCTGACAAGTCCTGGCTTGCAGAGAATCCACGCAGCCAACAGCGCAGTCACCACCTGATTCCGCTGCGCTGAGCCGATCTGCCCAGCTCACTTCCTGCAGTGCATCTGCTCCGACCCTCCAAGTCTCTCCTCCCTCCACCTCTCTCTCCACCACCTGCCACTCGCTAGTGTCACGCCTAACTAGCACACATTCCGATTGTTCCCTAACCATCCCACCACCCTCCATAATCATCCCATTAACAGGCATGGCCCCCTGCTGGCCCCATAACCCTCGAGCACACTCAAAGGCAGAGGGGGCTGCCCCATGACCCCAACTCCTCCCTTCCTCCTCCCTTCCCTTGGCAAGAGCCCACTCCTCCCCATCCCATCCGCCAGCTAACTCCCAGTCTGGCCTGACTCCGACCCAAGGCACATCCAACCTCCTGTGTGAGATAGCGCCTTCCCTGGCAGCGACCCGCCCCCCATCAGTCATTTCCTTACCCAGGCTCCAGTCCCAGCCTCCCTCACCTCTCCCCCCTCCTGGCCTGCTGCGTCCTTCAGCTGTTGATTCAGTCGCCGGACTCCAGTCGCGACCCCCCTCTTCCCTTCCGCTACCACGCCGGCTCCATTCCTCGGCTGCCCTTCCCTCGGGGAGTCTACAGTCTGAATTAGAAGCCACATAATGCGGTTTAGGAGCAGTGCTGTGAGTGGTGTCAGTAGCGCTCCGAAGGACGAGCTCCCAGTCTGTAGGCTCTAGAAACGCGGGGAGAACCGGCTGCTCGGTTCGTGAAGAGAATTGTGATATTAAAGGGGGCGCTGGAGGTGATTGGTTTCGTTTGGCACTGCTTTCCCCACAGGGGGGGAGAGAGGCGGAGGCGGGGGGTCGAGGCGGACGGGGAAGGGCGCGGGGGGAGGCGGAAGCGGAAGCGGAAGCTAGGTTTGGCGGTAGGGGAGCGGTTGCGGGTCGAATTGCAGCCAGGGGAGCGGATTCAACCCGCTCCGCGACTGTAAAATTCCCCCGATGTTCCGCCGGGGGAGCGGAATCGGCGGAAATTTCGCGCTTGAGCGGGCGCGTGCGCCAGGAGGAGGGCAGCGGGCTGCTGAGCCACGCCCTGTAGAGATCCTCGAGATCCGTTTCCTCGTTAGAAGACCCTCCGATATCGTCATCGTCGTCATCTTCGACATCTTCGCCATCGTCGTATCCGTCGGAGATGCTGCTATCCTCGCTATAGTCATCCGCATGGTCAAACTGATAGGCGCGAGTGTTACGGTACGTGTCTTCGCATTGTCGCGCACAGCTACGGAAATCCGCATCAACAGGCATATTACCATTCGGCGACACACTATTACCTTCGGAGCGCTCCTGACACCACTCACCACTCAGCTGGCTCCTGATACAGCTACCGGCTCTGCTATAGCTTCGGTTGTCAGTACTGCTTCCAATCTTGCTCCTTGTTCTCCCCACAAATTCCCTCCACTGGTCCGCCATAACCTCAAGCTCGCTGCTGCTATTCAGACGGCATCTCGGCCGCGCGATTGACTGAGGCGTCAAGAAATCGAAGGGAGGAAAACGCCCTGTCGAGCTGGAGCAGGAAGTTTCCAGTAGGACAGGATGACGGGCCACCTTGAAGGTGCTCCGTTCCGCGGTGAAAATATTTCCTATCTCCCCACATATCCAAGTTTGCGGGGTTAAAGCCCACGTTGGCGGGGTAAACGTCCACCAAACCTATACTGCTCAGTTGGTCTTTTCGGACGATCCGCGTACATAAGTTGTGTTGTATCTCTTTAGAACATGATTTGTTTTTTTTTTTTTCCATTATCATATCATGCTTTATAAGAATGGAATATGTTCTTCTTCACAGTGTAAATGTTCCAGAAATATTCATCCATGTCCCATCTTCGTGACTAGCTGGAGGATTTGAAGAGAAAACTTGTAAAAACCCACCATATCAAGTAAGGCAGGCAACTACTAGGCCAGCAGCCAATCAGGCAAACTATCCTAGCAGTGTAATCAGCTACTAGAGCTAGCCACTGAGGCAAGCAAGACTAGCAGCGTAGTCAAAACTACTAAACTGGCAGCCAATCAGGCAAGCTAGGCTAGAAGCGTAAGCAACTACTAGAGCTAGCAGCAAAGCTAGGTCTAGCAGCGTATTCAACCACTAGGGACTAGGACCTAGACCTAGTGGCGTTGCTGGGCAACCACCAGTGCGAGCAATCCTGCCCAGCCACAGTACAGTGACAAAATGAAGCTGAACTGAAAGTCCACAAATCTCGGGGTATTGTCTGCCAGGTGGAAATCTAGCAGCCATGCAGTGCAGCCATGCAACCATCACAGACTTCATCATAGTAGCCAATCTTGCTGTTGCACGTGTCATCCCAACTCCCCAGCCGCGTGTCATCCCAACTCCCCAGCCGTGTTTCAATCACCCTTGAAGTATTTACTTCAAGCCAGTCTGGTGCTTAAGGTGCCGCGCCTCCTTCTCCCCCGCAGCGCCCATCTTGGCCCCCGCGACTTGCTCCTCCTTCCCCACCTCCGCGCTCGTCTTCGTCGCCGCCTCCTTCGCGTCCGCCGCCTCGTGCGCCTGGTGGCTGAGTGGGTGCTTCGCCTTGTCAACAGTCTCCTGCGTCTCCGCCTTGCCCTTGCCCATCATCTCGCCGCCCTTGGCTTTCGCCTCGGTGACCTTCTCCTTGGCGGTCGTGCCGAGGTCGCCGAGCTTCTCCTTCATCGTCGACATGATCGTCGTGTGAGCCGCGGCGGAGAGTAGCAGATCGGAGGTTGGAATCTGAATCTTGCACTCGGAGTTGGAATCTGGAAACGAAGAAAAACTTCAGTTGCTAGGAATTCAGAGGAAACGAGCTCACCTAAAAGCGATGTGGAGTGGGCCTGCGTTATGTACCACTGGTAGTCTGTCTTTACACATGACAAGGCCTTCGAGAGCAAGATTGAGCCTCGGACGAGCCGACTCGACTCGTCGGAGCCGCGCTACTCGATAGCGAGCACGCCACGCCCGATCGACGCGGCATTTTGGGATTCCTGGCGAAAAACTCGTCATGCTGCACCCAAGAATCACCTCGCGAGGAGCGTTAGGCCGACGTCTGGCATCTGACGCACTATCATACGTCTATCATGCGCTCCGCAGTAGACAAAAGGAATTGCTGACGTCGAGGCTAAACACAAAGCGATGTGATGGGAACATTGCGCTTCGTAGACGCCGAAGGCGGCTCCAGTCTACTCTAGACGACCTGCGTTTTCACGATTTCTGACGATCCGACTAATTAGCGCCTGCTTGGCTGCATGAGAAATGAGGATTACAGCTGGCGAGAATGTTGCATGGAGGAAAGGTGGATAAAAAACGCTCTACAAGATGCCCCGTGCTACGGAACTCACGAAGAAATTCCAGTGTACACCAGAGTCGCAAACATACTGCATTCAACGTGTCAACGGCCAAAACCAATGAAGAAAATGAAGATACATGTAATGTAAGTAATCTTATGCAATCCCCAACGAATTGGTTTGAAACCTCCTGCGAAGATATTTACCTGAGCGCCACACTTCCCATCATATATACAAACGTGTCTCCTATATTCCTGCTCCACTCAATCACCCTCGATAGGAAGCTACAAGCCAACATCCCCCCTTATCTCTCCACGTTTCCTGACTCCCCAGCACCTTCACTGGCCTCTACGCCCCCCCCTCCTTTGACATCGGCCTCCTTTTCACTTGCATTATAACCAATATTACCGTTGTTACCATTGTTACCATTAGTCTTCTCATCATCACCTTCACTGGCCTCTCCATCGTCTTGTGCTGCGCCTCCTAGTGTACCGCCCATGTCGAAATCAATGGTGTAGTCATACTCGATAGTAGGCACCAATGAGGAGATGAACTTGAGGAAAATAAAGAGGTACCTGCAAATACCCAAATACACATGCCTAGGAACAATTTACACAAACTAATCATGACGCTTAACCACAACAAGAAACATGGGATACAGTATGAAAGATGACTGGAGCATAGGCATGGAAGGAAACATAGGAATGTATAAAAAGAGGGGCACGTACTGATCGACACGTGGCTGCACGCCATTGGCCGCCATGATTCCGATGATCTTCTTCATTACCGCTGCATGCTTGCACGGGTGGACCGAAGCGTACTTTCCTGGAAGGTGTGGATGGTCGTCAATGGTGACCTGCACAGAGGGCAACACAAATGGATATGCACATGCGCATGGGGCTTCTAACTGACTTCAGCATGCTGCCTTCAGACGGCTCACCATCAGACTCTAAATGGCTTTTGCACCACCACCTGCACATGCACAACCCACAACACCCGATGCATCAAGTGCGAGGGTTCGATCAGACTCGCATCACACCAACAGTCACATCCGCCAGTCACATGGACACGATAGCCATGCAAACCGTTACAGTCACACTCACCGTTTTCCTCACGTGGTCTTGACTCACATCCTAAAACACTCACTCTCTTTGCTGCCATCACACCAATCATCCGATCCCAACGCCATTCCACCAAACCCACCGTTACAGCCACCCCATTATGAACACACCTTCTTTAACAACCACAATCACCGTTACAGTCACCCACCGTTTTCTTCACGTGGTCTTGGCTCACATCCTCAAACACTCTCTCTGCTGCCAATGGCTGCCGTTGCTGCGGTGGTGGGAAGGGGATTCAACAGCAATGCAAGCAATGCCAAAAAAAAAGGGGGGGGGATGGGAAGGGGAAGGGAAAAATTAACATCATACACAGTTTAGGGCATGTGAAACACCTAAACCCTCAATCAGTCCCGAAGGGACGGCATGGGTCTGCGACATAGCACATCAACAGGACAGGATGAATCAAAGCCGTCGGTCAACTTTTTAACATGTCCCCTTCCCTTTTTGAGTCGACTCAAAGTCACGAGTCTACGACAGGGCACATGAACAGTGCAAATGGACATGGACATGCAAATTCTAGGGCACATGAACAGTGTAAATGGACATGAAAATGCAAATTCCAGGGCACATGAACAGTGGGGACAACAGAGGAGGAATTTCTGGAAGGAGATGATCTGAGAAAAGGAGAAACCAGAGCAAAGGAGCAAGTTAGTGAGATGAGAGCTTAGAATACCTCGTCATAACCAAAGAGCCAGATTCGTGGGGTCTGGTAATACTTGTCGTATCTGGGTGCAGAGGCATGCAAGGAGAGGACAACCAAGGAGAGGGAGGAGACGGTGAGGTGATGAGTGCGGGTCTGCCGAGAAACAACGCGAAGGCTCCATGACGGTGACGCCACGACGTCAGAACCAGAGTCTAGTTTCAGGCCATTAAGAAGGCCGTCTCAAGCAACGAGAAGCCCAAGACCATGACGGTGACGTCATGCATGACCTCACCGTTGTGCATCGATGTCAAAACCGGAATTCCAAAAGCCCTTGATTGTGCAGTGACCATAAACCCTCAACCCACGTGATGGTGGATTGACCATAAACCTCCAAACCCACGCGATGTTGCGTCAGCCGCTAACCCGAGCCAACCCCGAAACCCCGAACCCACGTGATGGTGAGGTCGTAGGTGCGAGTCTGCAGAATGTGGTCGTCCTCTGGCTCCGTTGCAATGAGGTATGTCCCCCCCCCTAGCTGCAGCGCCGCCTGTTTCATGGGGGGTAGAAAGGGAAATGGAGGTGAGGGGGATGCGGAGGGAGGACGGAAAGGAGGAGCGGAAAGCGAGTGAGGGAGGATGGGAGTGACTGTACTGGAAGTGAACGGCGGGAGGAAGTCCTTGATTTTGCAGGGTGTTTTTGAGAATTCTAAAAAACACCCTGCAAAAGAAAGGAGGAGCAGAAAGCGAGTGAGGGAGGATGGGAAGTGAATGGTGGGAGGAAAGGGAGGGAGGAGAGGAAGTTGAGACGGGAAGGGAGGGAGGGGAAGCAGGGTGTAAGGGGGAATCGAAGTGAGGAGAAGAGGGAGGGAGGATGAGGGAGGAAGAGTGAGAGCAGATTTGGAATTGCGACTCACAGGGTCAGCATCCACGACATTATCCACATCATCGAATTCCGCTATATCAGGTACATCCTCCTCCTCCTCCTCCTCCTCTCCCGCCCCTGCAGCTCCCCCAACATTCTTCTCCCCTGCCCCCCCTCCTCCACCCTCCCTCCCACCAACCCAAGGGCCACCAGCAGAGCCAGCTGCACCGACGGCCCCCTCCCTTTGGGTTGCTTCAATCATGGGAAGCGCCTCTTGCTCGGCTGACCCTGCGACTGCTACTGATGCTGGCTCCCGGTAGGAAGGAACAGATACGCAGGAGAAATGGATGGCAGGGGAAATGGGTTGCAGGAAAACAGAAAGGACGGAGAATCCAAGAAGCTGAATAGACCACTTTAGAGTAGTTGACCACTTTAGAGTAGTTGACCACTTTAGAGTAGTTGACCACTTTAGAGTAGTTGACAACTTTAGAGTAGTTGACCACTTTAGAGTAGTTGACCACTTTAGAGAAGTTGACCACTTTAGAGTAGTTGACAACTTTAGAGTAGTTGACCACTTTAGAGTAGTTGACCACTTTAGAGTAGTTGACCACTTTAGAGTAGTTGACCACTTTAGAGTAGTTGACCACTTTAGAGTAGTTGACCACTTAAGAGTAGTTGACAACTTTAGAGTAGTTGACCACTTTAGAGTAGTTGACCACTTTAGAGAAGTTGACCACTTTAGAGTAGTTGACAACTTCAGAGTAGTTGACCACTTTAGAGTAGTTGACCACTTTAGAGTAGTTGACCACTTTAGAGTAGTTGACAACTTTAGAGTAGTTGACCACTTTAGAGTAGTTGACCACTTTAGACTAGTTGACCACTTTAGAGTAGTTGACAACTTTAGAGTAGTTGACCACTTTAGAGTAGTTGACCACTTTAGAGTAGTTGACCACTTTAGAGTAGTTGACCACTTTAGAGTAGTTGACCACTTTAGAGTAGTTGACCACTTTAGAGTAGTTGACCACTTTAGAGTAGTTGACCACTTTAGAGTAGTTGACCACTTTAGAGTAGTTGACAATTTTAGAGTAGTTGACTACTTTAGAGTAGTTGACCACTTTAGAGAAGTTGACCACTTTAGAGTAGTTGACAACTTTAGAGTAGTTGACAACTTTAGAGTAGTTGACCACTTTAGAGTAGTTGACCACTTTAGAGTAGTTGACCACTTTAGAGTAGTTGACCACTTTAGAGTAGTTGACCACTTTAGAGAAGTTGACCACTTTAGAGTAGTTGACCACTTTAGAGTAGTTGACAACTTTAGAGTAGTTGACCACTTTAGAGTAGTTGACCACTTTAGAGTAGTTGACAACTTTAGAGTAGTTGACAACTTTAGAGTAGTTGACAACTTTAGAGTGGTTGACCACTTTAGAGTAGTTGACCACTGAATACTTGAGCAAATGAAGGTGGGGAGAGCAGGAAATGGTGCCACGGAAAGTGGGAGAGCGGCTGGGAGGCACGATTATAGAGGAAGGGCACGAAAACGGAGTAATGCCCTTCCTCTAAAAGCACGGCACATTAGACGTGGAGCCCTGGCTTACAGGTGGTGTCGAGCTTAGACGTGGAGCCCTGGCTTACAGGTGGTGTCGAGCTTAGACGTGGAGCCCTGGCTTACAGGTGGTGTCGAGCTTAGACGTGGAGCCCTGGCTTACAGGTGGTGTCGAGCTTAGACGTGGAGCCCTGGCTTACAGGTGGTGTCGAGCTTAGACGTGGAGCCCTGGCTTACAGGTGGTGTCGAGCTTAGACGTGGAGCCCTGGCTTACAGGTGGTGTCGAGCTTAGACGTGGAGCCCTGGCTTACAGGTGGTGTCGAGCTTAGACGTGGAGCCCTGGCTTACAGGTGGTGTCGAGCTTAGACGTGGAGACCCAGGGCTCATCATCCCCGTCCACGTCAGCATCCACCAATGTCTCGCTGCCACCTGTCGCCAGCAATACCTCCTCCTCCATTGCTCCCACTCGCCTGAGACAGGGGACTGCGGAGGGGAAGGGGGGGGGAGGGGAGGGGAGGGAAGAATATAACATGGAGTATAATGAGGAGAGCACCAATCGACCACAACTCCTCCTCCCATGGTCCCACTCGCCTGAGACAGGGGACTGAGAAGAATTGGGGGGGGAACGGGAGAAGGGGAGAAGGGGAGAAGGGGAGAAGGGGAGAAGGGGAGAAGGGGAGAAGGGGAGTTGGGGAGTTGGGGAGTTGGGGGTGCAAGAGAAGAGGTCGATTCTGATCTTAAGGCACTCCCAAGTCCCAAGGCGATGCTGTTCCAAGCTCAGAGTAGCGCGTAGCGTAGCTGGCGCGCTACTTGAGGTACATCCTCATCGCCCGCATAGCGTAGCTGATTCAATAGCACAACCGGTTGCTGAAATATCTCAAGGGTGACTGTACTGACTCGTGACTGTGATGAGGTACTGCTTGTCAGGTGTATTTGTTACATGCTATTGGATTCAAAACATCATAGTAGTAAGGATCCTACCGTTGTGTGTGCGTGATAAGATGCTGCCTGTCGGGTGTACTTTGTTACATGCCATTGGACTTAAGGGATCACAATAACGAGGATCCTACCATTGCGTGTGATGAGGTATTGCTTGTCAGGTGGGAGGAAGCTTCGTCGACGAGAGGCATCGGCTCCCTCCCTGACAGATGACAGTGGGAAGAATCAAGAGGGGGGGGGGCGAGAGGAGGGAAAGGAAATCGTGTGACTACCTACTTATGATTTGAACGAAAGTGAATCTGTGAATTAGCTTTAGAGTCGACTAAAAAAGACACCTCGGTCGTCATACCAGGCCCAAGTGGGACACTTGGCGGACAAATTGTCCCCAGCGGCGACGAACTCGTCCGGCGTGAGGACGCCTTTCTCTGCGCGAAGGCCGTTGCATTGCATGTCGATAGCAGCAGTTCCACCATGCTCTAGTACGCATCTGCGGTCACTGCGGCCAGAGGGCCCACAGTGGCTACAGGCGGACTTACCAGGCCCTGACAGACCTCAGCGCCCTGTCAGGTGGACGCCACAGCGTCACATCAGGTATAACCTTACCACGCCCAGGTTCGCAACGAGGTTGTCCCCAGCCGCGACGAATTTGTCCGGCGTGAGAACGACATTCTCTGCGGTTTTAAGAACTAAAGTACTACTCAAGCGTCATTTGAGACACACTTACCAGGCCCAGGTAGGGCACTTGGCGACGAGATTATCCCCAGCGGCGACGAATTCGTCCGGTGTAAGGACACCCTTCTCCGCGAAGGCAGTCGCGCTGCGCGCCGATAGCAGCATCTCCGCCGTGCTCTTGTACGCCTCGTGGATGCGGTGCCGGAGCCCCGAGACGTCCATTGAGACGTGAAAATGGGAACACTATAACTGTTTGCGGAGTGTGCGCGATGCACGAGACGAGGACCTCTATAGCGCGGATATCAGCAGTCACGTATCTGGTCACGTATCTACGTACTCTTGTACGCCTCGAGCATGCGATGCCAGAGATGAGGGATTCTATAGCGCGGATAGCAGCAGTCACGTATCTAGGTGCTCTTGTACGCCTCGTGGATGTGGTGCTGTAGACCCGTAGCGTCGATCATGGCGCCTAATCAGTCCGATTATTGAGGCGTTCTATTCAAAGCCGCATTGCGAAGTATCTGCCTACGAGGCTCCAGGCGACGTGACGGCAATGGGGCATTGGTGAAGGGGGGTTCCTCTCGTAGCTAGCGCCTGGTCGGAGAGCGAGAAATACGAACAGAACTAGCTTCCGGGACTACCGAAACTGCACTAAGCAACTACAGCTTGCTTGTCAGGCGAATACTAGTTTTCGACGAGCTGGCAGGGAGAAAGTGAAGGCTAGGTGGTTCTAGAACCAGCTGACATTTCCGAGGAAAAAAGCAATCTCGAGGAAGGTCGAGGGCGTACTCAACTTGGGAAGTTCGTTTCGGTTGTGAACCTCAGGATAGTATGAGCAACCCCTTTCGTTCGGATGATGAGTAACCATTGCGAAGAATGCGCGAAAGTATCAAGGGGCTGGTCTGAAGAAATGAACCCGCAAGGGAAACACCCCCCCCGTAGGATTTCAGGCTGCAGACCCGCGTTCGACACCTGGCTGGCACAAATATAGATAACCCGCGTATCCTGCATGGTCTGGCTGACACGCGTGATGATGCGTGTTCTTCAAGCCTCGTGGCTGATTCGCCTTTACTTTCGTTGACTTCCGTTTACTTTCTTGGACTCCTCCCTCGCCCATATCGCTGGGGCGCCTTTAAAAGCGCGTCGGGATTCGAGCGCGCTTAGGCTCACTCTTAGGCGGCTGTAACTCCCATCTTCTGCAGTATACTCAACTCTTAGGCGCGCTACTATGCCAGGGGTCGCTGCCCCAATTAACCGTCGCTAATGTGGTGTGGAGAGTCTTTATATAGGGGTCGTATCCTATAGGCAGGATTAGCGGCGCGCCGTCTTCCTCTACATCGCAATCGACTATGTCGGCGGCGGGAGAGGGTTTAGCGGATTTTGCACGCGGGAACACGGAAGAAAAGGCGGAATGGATCGCGGAAGGGAAGGTGGAAGGGGTGACGGAGGGGAAGGCGGAAGAGGAAGCGGAGGGGAAGAGCTCTATTGCGGCGGACGCCCGAAGGAAGGGGACTGGCGGAGGCGGAAAGCAGGGGGAAGGGGGGAGTGGAGTAGGCGCGCACAGAGGAGCGGGGGAAGAGAAAGAGGGAAAATTTGAGCGGCAGCGGAATGAGGGCGCGCGGGGGGAGGGGAAGGGGGATGAGGGGGAATTGGCGGAAGAGAGAAGGCGGATTCTGTTCCGTAAAGGGGGGAAGGCGGAGGCATTCACGCGGACTGGGGGAAGAGCCGGGGGAGACGTGGGGAAGGTCGGGGGAGAGGAAAATGGAGGCGGGGAGGGATCAGGGGAAACGGGGGAAGGGGGCGGGGAGGGCGGAAGTGGGGAAGGGGGAAATGCGGGGCAGAGAGGATTAGGGGGGGGGCTATTAGCAAATCTGGTGGGGGGGAAAGGAGGGGGGAGGGTGAGGGAAGGAGATGGGGAGGAGGAGGAGGAAGAGGAGGAGGGGATGGGGCGGCAGCAGCTGGAGGAGCTGTACCGGCACCTGAGGCAGCCCAGGGTGATTCTCAGGTGAAGGCAGCAGAGGCAGATGTTTGCATGGTTGCAATAACTGAGAGTCCATGTGGATGTGCCTTCATCCCAACCCCTGGTGTTTTCTCAATCCTTGTTCTGCGCTCCTGCATATGAATGTGCATGTCATAATGAGTGCATGTGCATGTGCATGTCTGCATGTCTGGATGTACATGTGTGCATGTGCATGTGTGTATGTGCATGTGTGCATGTGTGCATGCCCATGTTTGTGTGCAGAAAAGAAGCCTCAATCGCCCAATGGATTGCACCAGGGTGCCTAGAGCCAGAGCCAGAGCCAGAGCCAGAGCGTGACGCGCCCCTGCTGCTGTCAGGCGTGCAGGTCTTGCAGGAGGCTGAAAGGAGTCTAGGTTTGAAGCGCTTTGAGCCAGAGCGCTTCAAAACTACGCAGGAGGCGCTGGCTCAAGGCGGCCCTGCACTGCCTTTGAACGCCTCTCATTGTGCAGCAGCCAGCCCAACTCTCTGTGTGGCGGAGGTGTTGCTGCAGCGCGGAAAGTGGTGGGGCAGCACGGGGGTCGTGAGGAACCAGCGGCTGCTCTGCCACGTGGAAGAAACCCTGTGAGCCTTCTCAGGGATTCACAGCGCCCCTCCTTGTAAGCACGCTAGTGCCCTTCTCAGGGCCACATAGAAGAAACCCAGTGAGTCTTCTCAGGGCCACATAGAAGAAACCCAGTGAGTCTTCTCAGGGCCACATAGAAGAAACCCTGTGAGTCTTCTCAGGGCCACATAGAAGAAACCCTGTAAGCCTTCTCATGCCTTGGTCCCCCCCAACTCTTTCCCCTTCCCCCCCCCCCCCCCCCTCCCCTGTGACCGCAGATTCCTCATGGAAAAGGGCTCTCTGCTTCTCCTCTCCCCATCTGGTTGCCCCGTCCCCATTCAAACTCTCTACCACACGCTGCACTCCCCCCTCCTCGGCTGCTCTCTCAACGCCTACCTAGCCTACGCGCACCTGCGTAGGCTCGGGTTCATTCTGGCTCGGCACGGCGTGCCCTGGACCCGAACCGCACCAGCAGGCTCGGCAGCCACAGGGAGTGCGGCAAAGAGTGTGGCAAAGGGTGTGAGATTGTGTGAGGGACAGCAAGGCAAAGAGAAGCGAAATGGGGGAGGGGTTGATGGGGCGATAGGCGGAGGAAGGATAGACACAGTAGAGGAAGATGTGGGAGGGGGTAATAGAGAGATCGGTGGAGAGGAGTCGGGGGAAGAGGCGGGGGAAGAGCTAAGGCCCGTGTTCGATGTCTTCTTTCCCAATGCACGCTTCAGAAAGTCGCTTCCTGGCCCACCGGATTTCCTACTATCCGTGGTGGATTCACGGTGGGTTCCATTCCCCTCCCTCCCTCCCTGCCTTTTGCGTCCACTCAAGAGCCTGTGAGCATCCTGCAAGTATCTGCTGTGAATGCCAGGGGCGCTCTGTCTACCTCCTGCTGCTTCTCTGCTGCCCATACTCCTAGTGTCACCCTCAGCCCCATCCTTCTGCCCTACTTTTTCGCCCCCTCCCTCCTGCCATGTACTTTCAGGTCCCCCTTCCTTCGCGATCGGCCATCAAGCACCTTCTGGGGCACTCCTGTGACTTCTGAGTCAACTCAAAAGTCACCTTTTCACCCCATCCCTCCTGCCATGTACTTTCAGGTCCGCCTTTCCTTCACTAGCGGCCATCAAGCACCTTCTGGGGCACTCCTGTGCGCCCTCAGTGCACAGGAGTACACCCCAGTCCACAGGCTCAGAGAATCCAGCAGCTACAGTACCAGTCAAAGTGGCTTGTGTCAGAGATGGTTACGTTACCATATTTGACATCTCGCCAGTGACACTACCAGTGTTGACATGAGACTTAAAGCAGCCGGAAGCAGGAAAGTTGCAAATGAGTGTCAGAAATGAAATCCACTATCATTTTAGGTTGTTCCTAAGTAAAGAAGACTAGAATATAACTCAATGAAAGTGTGCGAGTGAAGCTGCGGAAAAGATGGTGTAGCGTTCAGCATTCCTGCTAAAAGCCTCCACTCTTCCCATCCACAGTATTACATCTACATCTATAAGCACTGTCAGATAAAAACTTGCATGCATGCATACATGCACGCACATAGCACACAGGCGTGCACACGCATGCTCATGCTGCTTAGTCGCACTTGATGTTGCGGTAAATGCGGCGAACAAACATGGACGAACCGAGATAGCCAATTGCACCTGAGGGGCGTTGCAGCAAGGGCAGGGGAAGCGCACAGCAGAGGGGGTGTGGGATAGGGGAAGGGGAACAGACCAGAGTACAGGGAACAGGAGGGGGGAATTTTGCACAGGGTATGCAAAGTGAAAGGAGAAGAAAAACACAGCCGTTGAGAGAGCTTGCATTGAGAGAAAGGGAGATCAAAGAAGAACGGAGGGGAAGACAGGGGAGGGGAGTGTGGGTTGGGGGGGGGAGGGGAGGGGGGGCAGAGGAGGAAGCCGGGGTCAGGGTAGGGGGAAGCGTGCATGAGGCTGATGGGGTGACATTGGGGAGCATGCATACCAGAGAGAATTCCCAGTGCGTACTGCAGAGGATGCCAGGTACAAGGCAGAACATGAGGGTGTATCCTAAGCAGGCGATCGTAACACATGTGCGTACAATATTTATTTGTTAAAAAACTTTGGGTGAGGTGAGTACGTACCACACAGGATGCCGAGCCCCAGGCAGAACATGAGCGTGTATCCAAAGTAGAAAGTGGTTGGGGGTTAGACTACTCTAGCACAAGGAAGCTTAGGGTAACACAAGTACGTACCACAAAGGATGCCGAGCCCAAGGCAGAACATGAGTGTGTATCCGAAGTAGAAGGTTGTTTGGAAAAACCCAGTCATCTTGGTTTTGATGAAGTAGTAGTAGATGGAGTAGAGGTACACGTAGATGGAGGTGGAAGCTGCTGAGAAGAAGGCCGTCCACTGCCAGTGGTAGTTCTCGGCGTTCAGCAGGAAGTACGTGCCCACTATGGTCACACAGATGGTCACTATAACGAGGATGAGGAACACCAGCAGCATAAACCCGTACACGTAGTAAACCTGGGGAAAAGGGGGCGCGAGGAGGAGGGGGGGGAGGGAGGGGGGGGAGGTGGGGAGGGTGGAAGGGGAGAGGGAGATGGGGGAGGGAGGGAGGGGGGAAGGGGGCGTGGGGGCATGTGAGGATGGCGTAGAGGTAGACGTAGATGGAGGTCGAAGCTGAAGAGGGCAGTCCACTGCCATTGGTAGTTCTCAGCATTCAGCAGGAAGTGCGTGCCCACTATGGTAACACAGATGGTCACTATAACGAGGATGAGGAACACCAGCACAGCAGCATGAGGCTGTACAAGTAGTACACCTGGGGAAGGCGGGGCGGAGTGGTGGAGGCGGGTGTGGTAGACGAGGGCATTGGCACAGGAAAACGGGGCACGCAGGCAGGCGGGAGAAAAGGGGGAGGGGGGAGTGTGGGGGATGCTGGGAGGTGAGGGGGAGGGGGGAAGAGGAGGGGGGGGGGGGGGGAGGGGGGGGGTAGGGGGGGGAGAGGTGGGTGGAGGCTGATTCCTGCTTGGTAACAAATCTCTGTAGCCCAGACTGCTGTACAGCATTCCACCTGCTACCTCCCATCCTTTTTTTTAACTCCTGGCCAGACCTCTCCAGTGCTCGAACAACTGGCGCCCGCTTCGTTTCTGGTTTCATTTCGACCAACAGACTCAATATCATTTCCAGCAGTTGGTCGCATTTTTCAACCCAATCCGGCAAGCTGAGAATGTATCGTCAAGCTCATTTCACACAGCACAGTTCCAACCATTCGTCACTGTCACACACAGCCACACCCATTCGCAACAGTCAGTCACACCCATTCGGCCCCACAACCTCTGTCTCACCTTGTAGTTCCAGAAGGACGTGAAGATGAAGTACAGCAGCCCGCCCATGAGCGACACCACCCACGGCGTCAGGGACCACTTCTTCACCAGGATGGGCCGCGGGATCGTCTTCACACAACACGGCACCCACAGGACACAGGACAGTCCCACCCATCGCTACACTCACCCACTCCCACACCCTCAGTCCCACCTTGTAGTTCCAGAAGGACGTGAAGATGAAGTACATCTCGATGAAGATGGACCCGAAGGGCAGCAGCCCGCCCATGAGCGACACCACCCACGGCGTCAGGTACCACTTCTTCACGGGGATGGGCCGCGGGATCGTCTTCACCCGGCACGGGTTGTCGGGGGTGCCGCTCCAGTTGCGCCCCACGATGGTGCCGAGCGTGGCGAGGGGGAAGGAGATGAACGCCCAGATCACCAGCACCACCACCTGCAGTGGGGTGGGATGAAGGGGTGAGGCGAGGTGGTATGCGAGAGGAGGTGTTTATTCAACAAGATGAGGTGGGGGGGAGGAAATGAGCACCCAAATGACCAGCAGCACAACCTGGAGGATCGAGACGGAAGGGAAGGGAGAGGAGAGAATGGGGCACCAGAAACAGGTAGGGAGACAGCGCGCGCAACGGAAAAAGTGACGGGAGAGGGGGTGAACGGGTAAAGTAGCAGAATACTGACCATGGTGCCGAAGGGAATGGCAGCGAGGGAGTGGTAGACAATGGCAACGGTGTTGAGGATGAACCCGATGCCAAAGCACGTGAAGGGGAAGAGCGATGCCGTCAGCAGCATAGCCTTTATCCAGTGCTTGCCTGCAGTGGGTTGGGGCGGTACAGAGAGCGCAGAAGATAGATGGCGCAGACAGCACAGGGGGAGAAAACACGGCACACGTGGAACGTAGGGTTACCCTATTAGCACAGAGGGAGCAATCGCCACTACGAGAATGAAGAGTTCACCAAAGTTGATTGGCGGGGGAAGAGGGGGGAGGTGGGAGAGTGGGGCGGAGAAGGGTGGTGGGAGGGGGAGGGGAAAAGAGGCGAGAATGCACCGAGTACCCCGTCCATTCCCGACTAGAACCGACCAACCCTGATTACAACAAATCTGCACGGTGATTAATGCGACCATGCGACTTGGCCACAGATGCACCTTAGCCGCGGCAGCGCCAGCTGCGCGCCCCTCCCCACCAGCTTTGTCCCCTGACCTACAGCCATAACCCCCCCAATTTAATCAATTCTTAGACCAATCCCCGTGCCCTGACCCTGGCGCGTACCTGCATTCCGCGAGTAGAAGCCGCCGCTGACGTATCCGCCCACAAACGACGTGAGCGCGTAGCAGATAATGAAGGCGGTGGCGATGGTGCCCCGTCCCACGTACAACATGCCCACGATCGCGATCACGATCACGAACAGCACCAGCAGCGCCAGCTGCGCGCCCGTCCCCACCAGCGCTGAGAGCAACACCAGGTTGCGCGGCGGCCGGAAGACGTCACCGTGCACCAGCTTCCAGCCAGACTCCTCGCTCACATCCCTTTCCTGAGAGCAGGAATAGGAGGGAGACATACGTAGTCAAATAGAGTCCTGGGCTGTGTTAGAGATTTGTTGGCGTCCCTCTGGTTCCAGCAGCCGCAAAATGTCAGGGACGGATAGAGTGGCATGAAGAACATTCGCCTGGCCAGTATAATCGTCAAAAGCCACAATGCGCGGGCAGTGGAAGTACCAGGGCCATCATTACCAGTCTGATCATGCCCTCTTCCCGTGAAATCTCGGAAAGAGCAGTGGCGTCATCAGCGTCACCGAACCGCGTACAAACGACGGCGCACTCATGCCACATGCTACGTACCAGCGTCTCGAGGTCGTTCTTCTCCCTGACGTACCCGGCGTAGCCACGGCTGAGAGTGCGGATGAGATTCCTGCCCTATGACACCCTAACCTCGGAATGTTCCACAGACATCAAAAGTGCAATTCTGATACCTACTACCAGCGTCTCGAGGCCGTCCACCTCCCTGGCATACTTGGCATAGTCGTTGCGCAGCGCGCGCATGAGAATCATGCCGTCTGACAGTCTAGTTTCGAAATGTACCGGGGACGTCATATGCACAAGCACGTAACATACCAGCGTCTCAAGGTCGTCCTCCTCCCTGGCGTATTTCGCGTAGTCGTTGCGCAGCGTGCGCATGAGGATCATGGAGACGAGCCCCGTGAGGAAGATGACCATCATGAACGAGTTGAAGATGGAGAACCAGTGGATCTGCATCGGCGGCGAGGGAAGGGAGGGAGAGGGGGGCGGGGTTGAGAGGGGAGGGAGGGGGTAGGGGTGGTGAGAACATAGTAGATGGGGTTACCATCATAAACGAGATGAAGGTGAAAGCCAGTGGATCTGCAGTGGTGGGACGGGAAGGTGAGACCATAGTAGATGGGGTTACCAGAAGGCGGGGTGAAGGAGGTTAGCGGACAACGAGAGCGTAGGAATCGAAGAGGGGAACAAGCCAATTTGGGAGGAAAATAGTGATTCTGGGACAAGTGAGCGAAAATCTGAGCCTTGTGACCAAGAATGCACGAACATGTGAAAGCCGGCCGGGGTTACGGAAAGAAACGTCAGACCAATCGGGTAAGTAGAATAATGATCAACGTCCTGTCTGACGTGAAAGGAGCACCTGATGCTCGAAGAAATTGTAGTCCAGGTAGCGGTCAAAGCGCTTGCGGAAAGCTATGTCCGTCTGCTCCCACTTGACGGAGTACGTGAACTCCACGTTCGTTCCGGGTGTCACCGGACGCGGCGACTCCGACGTCAGGTTCACCTGGATGATCTGCAAATCGTGAAATTGAACATGGTAAAAAAAAACGCATGGGATTAAGCTAGGATGAAGATCGGGTTACGCTTGGATTCAGAAGCTTGAGGATAACGACAACGCTCGCGAGGACATGGGCGTTAAGACTACAAGAAATGCGGAATCATGGCGAAATCCGTACTTGGTCGCCATTGTAGTTAATGTCGAAGCTCTTGTGGGTGTAGATAAAGAT